AAGTTCTACTCGATAAGATCTATCAAATATCATTTTCTATTCTCCAATATTTTATTTGGAGACTGATGGATATGCTTAATAACGTATTCCAGCAAAATGATTCATACGTATTTCAAGCACAATTCGACGAGGTCTCCAGATAAACGACATTCATGTTCTTTTCTTAGCTTTAACGCAGTTTTTATTGTTTGGTTTTTATGCTCTTGTATTTTTCTATCAGAATTCTGAAATATTACGATTTACCTGTTTTTAGAAAAAAAAAAGAAGAGTTCAAGAATTTTGCTTGCATAATTAAGTAGAAGATAGAATTTATGTTTTTCATAAGGAAGAGAAAAAAGCGACTAATCTTGGTTGAACATGTACGATGGTGTTTGACATTCAAATGAAAATATTTTCGTATATATATATATTATCTTTAAATGAAGCATGATGTTTCAAATAATACTACAGCGAACTTATTATATAGCGAAGTAATGAAGAAATTAGCGGCGTACTTTAACTGTGCTATGGCACAGCTTTTATAAACAGGTTTTTTGTTTTGACTTGAGCTTTATTCTTCATCTATGAAGCGCCTCGATAGATTTTTGCTAACAACTGATGTTCTTTTCCATAAGTTATGGCTGATTATTGATTGCATAGATCGATCAAATGCATACCGTTCGCGGTTAGTAAATGGCGAGAAAATGGAAACTCAACGGAAGTAAACGGCATAAATACGATTCATAAGCAGAGTGAAATATACCATATGAGTGGATGCAGTCTCACGGTCCGTATTTGACCCGTATTGTAAACGGAATCTATCCAAATAATATATTTTCCGCTAACAGACTTTGCGGTTACTAGATGTATTGGTACAATATCTGGAGAAGAAACGTGTTTGTATTGCTCATTGTCGTAAACTTGGCGTTTTTGAGCCATAATTAGCGCTAATCGTGAAGCATGTCTGCCATTGAAAAAAGTTTTTACAATTTAATATTATAGTAATGATAGTTTCACACTTATTCATCTACTCTCAATGTTATCATTCTGTAATGTACCAAAACTCTACAAAGCATTTTACATACAGCGCAGTTCGGTCAGGATCTGGATTAGTAAAATAGAAGCTAATAATTGAAAAACTTCTTTTATCGAAAGAGAATTAAACACNGCGCTTATCAAATGGCGAGAAAATCCAAACTTAACGGAAGTAAACGGCATAAATACGATTGATAAGCGGAGTGAAATATACCATATGAGTGGATGCAGTTTCACGGTCCGTATTTGACCCGTATTGTAAACGGAATCTATCCAAATAATATATTTTCCGCTTACAGACTTTGCGGTTACTAGATGTATTTGTACAATATCTGGAGAAGAAACGTGTTTGTATTGCTCATTGTCGTAAACTTGGCGTTTTTGAGCCATAATTAGCGCTAAACATGAAGCATGCCTGCCATTGAAAAAAGTTTTTACAATTTAATATTATAGTAATGATAGTTTCACACTTATTCATCTACTCTCAATGTTATCATTCTGTAATGTACCAAAACTCTACAAAGCATTTTACATACAGCGCAGTTCGGTCAGGATCTGGATTAGTAAGATAGAAGCTAATAATTGAAAAACTTCTTTTATCGAAAGAGAATTAAACACGAATGACCTGTATTTTGTAAAGCACTTACCTATTACTGAAATTTAACAAACGAAAAATACAGAAAAAGCTTCTTTTTTTTTTTATTAATATATTAGCTCGACAAATCTTAATCATGATTAAGCATGGTAAAACGTTTTCGAGAGTCACAAGTGTTTGCATCGGATAGAGATCAAAGAAAGGTGTTCATCATAGTATGCATGACTCGGATGTCGAGAGCCTGAACACGGGTATTAGGACATTCACCTAATGCATTCCTGCTTAATATATGCTTTTAGTTTAAGGATTTTGGGTGTTTTTGGTATAACGAGATAAGTACCCAACTCGATACTGTATATTCAAAGTCGAGGATGTTGAACAAAGAATGTAGGTGTTATATTTGAACTCTTCCCTTTCTCTCCTCCTGAAGCTTCCACCAACCCCATTCTACGCATATGTCTACAACCATATCCACCCACGGTCGCACCCAAGCGCACAACCACGGCCACGGTCTCATCCAAGGTCATGAATGCAGCCACTCTTACGGTAATAACCAAGCCCACAGCCATAGTGACTACTGTGACCAGCCCTACAGTAGCACCCAAGCCTACAGTCAAACTCATAGTCACGTTCACCGGTACTCTTCACAAACATCCACACACGTTCGATACTCACATTTAAGGATGCGATGGTGACGATTATTCACCGGTCTACCGTCACCGTTTCACTGGTCCAAACCGATAACTGTACCTACGGTTATCGTCACCGTTGCATCCCTACTGCATCCAACATTCACATCTCACACTCAAATATCGGTCCAGTATCAGCTTTACTTATGAAAGTATAACATTGGATACCAAGTTAGGTAAAAGAAAATTTCTAAATAATAATCTATGTGCTAATATAATATTTATTTAAATAGACAAAAAGATTTAGAAGCATTGCTTCAACGTACTCGAAAACAAATTGCTAATGTTACAATGAAAGATGATTTAACAACATTAATTGATTTACAAAAACCTATTTATGGAAACATCAAAATTCTTAAGCAAATATAAATCTAAGCGAGAAATTCTTTTATATAGCTTTATTTTTCTAGCATTTATATATTCCATTATCCAAAGTACAGATAAAAATTGAAGATGAAGTTATTGAAAATCCACTTTCAAAGGTAAAAAGAAAAAATGTTTATTCACGATAGTAATTGTTACCAGTTAAGTTGTTGATAAAATAATAGATCTCAGATCAAACTGAATCATGAAAAAGCTGCCGATTGATGACAAGAGAAGCTGAGTTCTCTGTAGAAACCTTTGAAGTTTGCTTAGAATTGAAACAATCAATAACATTGACAAAGTATATTCCTTTTCAGTTTTGGACAGGGATCATAAGAAAACATTCTCAGTTGTTCAATTTTTGTTTTACTTGAGAGTATGACTATTTGATCGATCATGATGAGTATAATGAACAAATCTCTTTGAATTTCTTTTTTTCGCTCATTTCTTATTGAATTATTGGCATTTAACTCAATTGTTGGCTTTATTACCATAGAACTGTTGAAAATTTGAATGGTCGAAATTTGAACCGAAATTTAGTCCACATGATGTGCAAAAGCACTCTTTAAAATCATCTCAAATAAGCTTCGCAGCCCTGAAAAACATTCATTCAGCGATTAATACTATTAGTCCAGCACATACAAGGCATGAAGAAAAAACTTGACTTTGCTAATTGAATATTTTGAAAAATCACCGTTTGCTTCGCAAAGAATTTCTAAATTCAACATTTGGTGTTAATTCATAATGCTCGCCAATTTTATTTTCCAGCTGACGAAATATAGTAAGAAGTAAAGTTGTTGATTCAATCACATAACCAACACTTAACTGTAAAGAGATGATGTGATAAAGTTTATAAAGCCCTATTTGGGACTATGTTTTATTCGAACTTTGCAATAGATGATACATCGAAATCACCGACCGAAAAAGTAGAAAAATCAAGTTGTAACAACATTTTGATCGTAACTTCACATTGGAACTTTATTATGATAAATATTCCGATGTTCGAATGTTGAGAAATGTGTTTCGACATTGTTCCAAAGACTTTTTCATAGCTTATGAAGAATGCCTTACTTCCATTTCAAAGAGAGGAAATTTTATTATTGTTTTCTTTGGGTTTTCAAATAATATTTATTCAATACACGATGTCCAGTTATTAAATTTCTATTACATGAAAAAGAAAGTTTAGGTTACTTAAAGCTACACTTTTAGATTTATCATTATCGATTATCTTGAGTTGAATGTCATCGAAATAATCACTTGTAGTCAAAAATAGCTATTCTGGCAGCATCAAAACATTGAAACCCGATTTTAAAATGAATTATAATAAATTCAGTCGTTCTGAGACGTTTTCATGGCTTCGAATGCGTTCTTCCCTCCTCCCCCTCTATCCTAATAAATACATCTTCTATTATGTATTAAACAGATATCGAAAATTTCAATCTAACGTAATTAATATTCATGTATTTTGAAATCCGCATACTACAAATGTATGTGATTTGTTCACGCATCTTTTTTTTTTTGATGGCGATGATTTAACCATTGAAAATGAAACAAAAAAAATGAAATTTTCTGCGGCATTGCATTCAATCTTTTTTTTTCATGGCATTTTCAGTCTGTCTCGTCGATTATTTTTGTTATTTGTTTTTTTACAAGACAAATTACATATGAGTATAGTTGTTTCGTGCCATCAACGAGTGCCGTTATAGAAAAGAAAACATTCACAATTTTCAAGTAATTATTGTTGTGAACATGTCAAAGTAAGCGATCAATTTGAATTTTTTTTTTTGAAATAAAAGTATTTCAGAAAACAAAAAAAAGAAAAAGGCAAAATAATCATGAACATAATTTCGTAAATTGAGATGAACAAGGTTATAATTTTAATAAATAGAGAAAGAGAAAAAAAAAGACAACTTCTTTTATACAAATAGGGTAGCAGTAATACGGCACAAACTTTCACACCTTCTGTTTTTTTTCTTTTTGATTGATCACTTATACAAATTCTTCTTGCTTCCTCTCTTTTTCCTTTTATATGTGTGTTGATATTACGTTGATTGAGCAACATCTTTCGTATCTCTGTGTACATACATTTTTTTTCTTCTTTTAAATGAACAAGAAGTGACACTCACTATAGTTGATTTTTGTTTTCATTGTTGTACACCTTCATTGGCATGTTAGTTACTAAAAAAAAATGTTTTACAAAAAAAATTAAGATGTTAAACTTTGTTAATAGGTGGTTGGTTAACAAATAGATCGAAGAAAAAGAATCATAAAGCATTGATTAGAACAATTTGATCTCATGAAAACTACCAACATTGATTATTATCGACAATTATTTACATATGTATGCAAAAAATCGACGAAAAAATCATACAGAAAATATGGAAATTTCTACAGCAGAAAGAGATACTGGTGAAGAAGAAGATGAAGCAAATAAAACACATTATGAAAAACAACAAGTTAAAGCATCAAAAGGTAAACAACATAAACAATCACGAGATGTATTAACAACAACGAATGGTGCTTCTTCAGTGTCCAATCTTTCATGTAAGATACTTGTTAATAGACGTTTCTATTATTACTTGGCAAACACTTCTTTCTTAGTTTTCAAATCTATAATAAAAACATACGAAATCAATTTAAAAATTCAACATTTTCTCACGTTTATAAGTGCTGTCAATAAAATAACAACAACAACTTACTTTTTTATACAAAAATTTAATTTTGCTGACAAATCTTTCATCTTCACTTAGTAAACCCAGGAGTGTTCCAAGGTCTCCACGCAGGAGGTTGATTGAAAGATTTTTGCTAGAGTTGATCAAATTTGAGATGGAGACAGTTGAGTATTCTTTTGTAAATTGATGACCAAAGAAAAAGTAACAAAACGCTGGGATTTCACTTGGAAAGAACAAAACTACCTAAAACAAGCACATCAACGACTAGTTTTTCTATAAAATCAAGTCCTCTAGTTGCCTATATCTATCTAAATGGATTCATGTCGGTCAAAATTTAAGTTTAATTTTTTTTTTTAATTTCAATTTTTTTAGTACCTATAAATAATGATAAATCTGCTGGTTATGTAGCCCATTTACTTCATGAAGCTGATCTAACTAGTCTTGTTCAATTGGATACAATTAATCAAATAAAATATTTTCTTGATGAACGTGCTAATCTTATTAGTCAAGTTTGTACAAAAAATTGAATGAAATAAAAATTCTTCTATTATTCTGTTACTTATTTCTTTTGAAAAAAAAAACTTTAGATGGAGTTTATTCGTGCACAATTTGAAAAACAATATGCAACATTAAAACGTCGTCTTGATGAAACAGAAGGTGAAAACGAACGTCTTAAAGCACAATATCGTTCATCATCAAAAGAACTTGCTTTATATAAAAATCTTGTTGAAGCACCTGATAACCCTGGATCACCAAATAAATCTAAAGATTATCAACAATTAAAATTAACTATTGATAAAGTTTTACATGAAAATGAGCGTTTACATTCTGAATTAAATACTTTTAAAACAAGTGATCCTGTTTATGAACAAGTACAATTATTAGAAACTACGAATAAAAAATTAAAAGAAGAATTAATTAAATTAACAAATGAAAATAATCGTTTAAAAAAAATGATTAATTTTGATGAAATTAAACACTTAAAATCAAATTTAACAAAAGCAATTGAAGAATGTGAACAATTAAGATTAATTAATAAAAAACTTACACAACAATGCCAACAACCAACATCATCACCAAAACAGGTTAGTTAGACAATTTTTATATTTTATTAAATTCGTTTAATAAACAGAGGAGGAAAAAAAATCCTTGAACCATTCAGCTCTCTCAAACATAAAAAAAAAAAGATGACGTATTGTACGCGACAATGTCCTTGTCAAAGTCAATTAGTTCAATAATTAGCAATATGAATAAAACTTAACCATTACATATCACACTTTTTTTCTTATTAGTTATTATATAAAGTATCGAAGAAAAAAAAAGAATCCATTTTCACGTTCTTTTATAAGTTGTTCTCGATTGAATTGAAAAAAATAAACAAAGTTTACAACATAGAAGTTACAAAAAAATAAATTCATCTTTAAATAGGCACATTTTTATCCTCTTCCTTCATCTCCAATATCTAATCAACAACAATTATCACCGATTTCACATCGTTCTTCAAGAACAATTGATGAAAATCTTCTAAAACAATATCCATCAAACGAAGTTATTGAATTACGTGAACATGTTCATCGTTTAGAACAAACATTACATAAACGTGATTATGAATTACAAAAATTACAAAATGAAATCGACAAAGGCACAAGTTCAATAATGAGTTCAATAGAAGATCTTTATACGGCTTCATCAAATGTTTCATCGCCAAAAAGTATTCTTAAGCATCAACCATCTGTTGTTCAATTACAAAATGAAATAGATCAATTACATGATAAATTAGATGAATTAACACGTGAAAATCAAATATTAAAAAATCGTACACAAGAATTCGATACAATTTATGAAGAAAATGAATATCTTTATGCTGAAAAAAGTCAATGGAATGAAGAGATGGAACGTTCTAGAATACGACAATTAGTACTTGAACAAGAAATTCATTCATTTAAAGAACGTGAAAAAGAATTCATTGTAACAAATGACCCATCAATAACAACACATAATTCTAATGTGTCACAATTAAAATTAAAAACTGATTGGTTAAATCAAGCAAATAATCAATTAGAACTTGAAGTTGTTCGCTTACGTGAACAAATAGATTCTATAACAAAAAAATTTCAACAAGCTAAACTAGATTTAATCAATAAAACACAACATTATAAACAAATTTTAAAAGCAGCTCAAGATACACAAAAACTTCCTGAGGTATATCAAAAATATTATTTCTTTGCGTAAATGTTCTTTTTTTTTTATTATCTTGATAGGAATTGGCTCGTATTGAAAAACTTTATACTGATATTGAAACTAAATTTGAACATGAACGGCAAGAATATGAAAAGACAATTGCAGCTTTAGAAGAACAAAGTGAAAAAAGAGAACAAAAATATAGTGTAAGGTCAAGTGTCACGTTCTTTTTTTTTGATACATTTCGATCGGAAGTAAAATAGTCATTTTTATAACTATACTCCTATTAACAAATAATATGGAAGGTCGAAATTTGGGCTCCAGAAGTTTTCGACCTTGGCTTTAATTTACCATATTAACCTCTATGTGAGGCTTTGCTTCTCTAATTATCTGTCACATTTCATAGTGATTAACAGTATGCGTTTTTATTAAGACGTACTGCTCAGTCGTGCGCATTTATATCAAATCACAGTTCCATAATTCTGTTAGCGAGATGGCACAGTGCTCAGCAGAAGGGCATAGCACTAAGCAATATGAATGTAGGTCATACTACAATAATAGCATCCTGCTCAGCACTACGGAATGTAGGAATTAATTATAGAAATAAGGATTTTTATAGATAGGGATTAACAAGCCTAATTTGAACCAGAGTCGCAATTCCTGTAATCTTAGTCAGTGCTTCAGCAAACGCCAATATCAGCAGTGTTTAACTTAGTGTAAGAGCTGAGAGAACGGCATCCGTCCGAAGATCAGGTTGGTCCTTCAGAGTTTGTGGTAATTGTACTACGTATTATGTGTTGATGCTTCCAAAGCTACTCTCGAAATTTTAGATCGCCCTTTCAAAAGAGAAAATTTGGATAAAACCCTGGACGTCAGTGTAATCAGTGAACCCTGTGTCAGTGACTCACTATTTAATATTTTAGTATTTACAACAATACTCCACATTCCTATGTAATATGAATTCTTTTTTCTCATCTTTTTCGGTTGCCTGTGAGTCTTTAAAAAACTTTGTTTATTTTTGCTTGAATCTCAACTTGGTTTGACACATCGTCATTGAAAAAACTTCCAGAATTTTTGTTTTTTTGAATACACTTTCTGTTCGAAAGAGAAATACGTATTCTTAATATTTTTAAATCAATATATTTCAATGGATAGAGATGCACGCGATAAGAACAGGTCTTGATTTTCCCTCTTGTTTTCACTGGTTTCGTTCTAATACTTTCCCTTTAGCGTGTGATAGAGGTAACGAAATCTTTCAACTTCGTCTTGAATCAATTGTTTTGCTTTATCTCTGAATGAAATTTTATTTCTAAGATTCTTTCTTTTAGTCTCTTTATGATACAATTCTTAAACTTCAAAATGATTATCGTCAAAAAGAACTTGATTTTGTTCAACAAATGGATGATGTTATTAATCAACGAGACACTCTTCATGCGCAATTAACTTCTTTTCAAAGTGTCTATACACAGCTGCAAAAAGAAAATAGAGCTCTAGAAGAAGAAGTAAATCTATTATATTTATTTATTAATAAAAAAGTTATGATTGTTTTTTAAATTTAATTAATAAGATGAATTCAAAAAATGAAACAAATCGAGATCTTAAATTTGCTTTAACATCATCAAATAATGATACTCAAGCAATCTATAATCAATTACATCAATTTAATACAAATTTAAGTGATTTACAAAAAAAATATGATCATGATATAGCTGAACGTAATTCTCAAATAGAAATGTTACGTACTGAACAAAAACAAATGATTGTAAAATTTAAATAGAAATTAAAAAATTCTTTTTAACTAAAACTTTTTCAATCACTTTTCTTTAGTCACATTATGATGGTGAATTATTAAAAACTCATCAAACAATAATTCAATTGCAACATGATAATAATCAATATGCTAGTCAATTAGAACGATATCGATCGAATATTGATAAACTTAAATCTGAAATTAATGAAAAACACAATGTTTGTAACAACAAACTTTTTTTTTTTTTTCTAATCCTTCTGAAATTTGCTTTTATTTATATTTAGTTTATTGAACAAGTGCAAAATGATTTAAGTGAACGATCAGCATTACATCTTAGTATTAATAATCAATTAACACAAGAAAATAAAGTAAAAGCAGCGAAAATAGCTGAACTTGAACAAGCTTTGTATCAAGAGCAGCAATACGTAGGATTTTCTAAACAAAATAAATAATGATTATGTAAAAGTCTTTTATTATTTCTTCTAGAAAACAGAATTACAACGAAATATTCAAGAATTACAAACAGAACTGCTTAAATCCCGTATGATAGCTAAAGAATCAGTAGAAAAAAGTGAAGAATTCGAACGACGTTTTCATGAAACTGATAAACATTTTATTCATTTAAATGAAACAACTGAACCAACAAAACGTGAAATAAATACTTTACGATTTGAATTATTAACAAAATCTGATCAAAATACAATGTTACAAAATACTATTGAAGATGAAAAACTTAAACGGTATTTGATATTTTGAGTTTTGTTTTCGAAACAACGTATTTTGTTTATTTTTTGTGAAACATCATCTAAGTTTTGGCATACATAGGATAGAAATGTGCATCCTCTCTCAAAAGACCATGATAGATGAGATCGATCGATAGTTACATAACTAGGAGATCGTGTATGACAGGACAGTGCTCAGCGATCTTACGAGGGAAGGTCCCCAGGTGCCACGCTCCGTTTTGAATCGGACATATGCCATTTTGTAGAGCTCAGTGAGACTAGCAANAAGATAAGTCTGTGATGGAGAACACGTCAATTTTGTCTGCAGTATTGACATTGAAGAGAAATCTTCATCTTTTTGTGTCCATTGAACAATCTCAGCTGTACACTCTAATCTCCCATCTCGAATTGCAATTAACTGGCATTTATCTGAACTTGAAAGTGATAAAAGACAGATCTATGAAAGATTGCTTTGACAATTGTTGATCTTTCTATTTTCAAAAAATAAAAATATATTAAAAGAGAAATAACAATTTGTTCTAGTCAGCTATCTTATTCGCTGATATTTCCCAGTCAAACAAGCATCGAAAAATAACGCGTAAAATAACGTAAAAACCGCACATTTTTGCGATTTTATTTTCGTTCAAAATTTTAACGCGTTTTTACGCATTTCTCACTGAAATAAGTGACTTTTCAGCAAAATAATAACCTATAAACTATATCCTTACGTTCCTTATAAATTGCATTTATAGTTTTACATAAGATGAGTGTTCGAATTCAACCGTTTGTTTTGCTAAAAACTCACTTATTTCAGCAAAAAATGCGTAAAAACGCGTTAAAATTTTGAACGAAAGTGAAATTGCAAAAATGTGTGGTTTTTACGCTATTTTACGCGTTATTTTTCGATGCTTGTCTGACTGGGCTCAGATGTCTGAAAAGCCTGTGCGTTTCTTCGAAAACCTTGGCTCTTGAGGAAAGTTTAACCTCTATATGGTGGACACCTCCATATAGTGGACACTTTTGAAAAGTCCGAAGGGTGTCCACTATAGAGAGGTTTCACTGTATATATATTTTCAAAACACTTACACTACGATGAGAAATAAATAATATCAAACATGGCATTCAACTATTGTAAAGTATATGAAAGGAAAAAAAACATACCACTTAATAGGACCAAGAAATACCCTAATTAATTCACGATTTTTTTTTTCTTTAGTACTTTTATTCACGATTACTTCAACTATTGATTGCATATTGTCCTCTACAAAACAAATGTCTGCTTTGATTGCTACTTTCTTATTTTTTTTTAATATTATCATTTGATTGTATTAACAGCCAAACTAATCCATATGATACAATATGTAATTATACTTCACAATCATTGAATGGTCATGTTTGTCTACAATATAGTTATGCGACACAACAACGTCAACGACTATGTTTTCCTCGTCGAAGCATTGTTATAACTGAAAATGGTTTAATGAAATCTTTATCAAATATAAAAAATGATGAACGTGTACTGGTTATGAATAAAGAAAATAAATTAATTTATGGATTCATTGAAGGATTTATTCATTTGAAACAAAATAGATTATTTGATTTTTTTATTGATTAATATACAAATTCATGATCATAAAAATACTACAACATTTTTTACTTATATTGCCAAATCATTTAATATTTTAAGCAAATGACACAGAATTAAAATCTACTATATTTACTGGTCAATTTCATATTCGTGATCGTATAAAATATTTTTATAAAAACGACATTAGAGCAGCTAAAATTCAAAATATTTATTTGACAACAGAAGAATGTTATTATGCACCATTAACACCATCAGGTACAATTATAATTGATAATGTTTTAGTTTCAAATTATGCAAAAGTTCATAATCATCATTTAGCACATTATGTTATGCAAATATATAGATGGTGGATTTATCTATTTGAATCAAATGAAAATAATAATAATATTCATTGGATATTAAGATTAATTGAAAGAATAGTTCAATGGTATGGAATTGAAAAATTTGGTCAAACTTCAATGTTTAATGGTATATTTGAGGTGTCTGATTTTATTTGAATGATTCATTTGACTTTTTCAAATGAACTTTTAAAAAAATATTTTCAATAAAATTCTATCGATTAAAATATTTTAATCGAAGCCAATCATCTTTCAATAAGTGCTAAATCACTTAGAATAAGTATAGAAAAGTACTCTCTATTGAGATCATTATTTTCTAAAATGAATATTTTGGTATAGAAAGGTAATATTACTTTTTAATGTCAATTTATACGAATATATAGTAAATAATTTACCTTTAGAACGAAATATAATTATTTTTAGAAAAAAATCTCTCAAACAGTTTTGATATTATTCAATGAATAGCAATAACATATATATATATATTTGTTTTTTAGATTTTACTTTCACTTTATCGAGTTTCTATTGCATTCTACTATGACATTTATAAATAACATAGTGACTAATGGATTTTGTTGCTTGAAAAACAAGAAAAAAAATCTTTTTTTTTTTGCTGTTTTTCTCTTTTTCTTTCTCTAAATGTCTTGTCATATTTTGCCTATCATCGGAATGATGATTATCGTCATTTCAACCGTGCTCAATCTCGGCCGACATGCTACCATCAAAAAAAAAAAGAAACACCCACGACTTCTCATTGTCAATAGTTGCAAGAACAGAAATATCGAAAAACAAATTATGTTTTTTCGGCCTAATCTCTACGATGTTCTAATAAAAAAAAGAAATCTGTAATCTAATAACTGAATTGTCTAGCTACTATTGCAAGGAAAACCTTCTTAGTTAAACCACGAATACACGCATTTTTGATAGAAGGAAATGATAGTTCATCATTAGAAGAAAACGAGGAAGAAGAAAAAAAATATAGAGATGAAGAGAGAGAAAAAAGCGAGCGACAAAAAAAGAAAATAACATGATGCTCATTGTGATAGGAATAGAATTGAGATAAAGAAACGGGAACAAACATCACCCGTGGAAAACAAACATTCGATCAACAAGCTCGTAAGTTAATGCTAAATAACTATTGACAAAAAACTTAATTGAGAAGAAAATTTTATAATCAATAGAAGAAGAATAAAATGGCATAAAAAGACAATGCTGTTTTTCCTTTCTAAATAACTCATGAATAATGTTATCTTTCTAGAATATTTAACCACTTTTTTTTTCTATTCGCTTACCCTACTTCAATTAACTTCCTTTTTCCTAAAATAAGAGACATCCGGTTGAAAGATACTATTCGTTCGGATATGTAAAAAAGAAAATACAAAAGAAGATATAGATTGCTATTTTTATTTTGTTCATGAATATTTTCGATGTTCATATATATGACGTATTCATTTTAGAAAATGGTGGTACATCTTGGTGGTCTTGCAGCCGTTGTTTTTTTTTATGTTCTTATTTTACTTGTTGGAATATGGGCTGGACGAAAACAAAAATCATCGGAAAAGTCACCCGATACAGAAGAGATTATGTTAGCAGGAAGGAATATTGGTTTACTGGTTGGGATATTTACAATGACAGCAACATGGGTTGGTGGTGCATATATTAATGGTACTGCTGAACAAGTTTTTTCTACGGGTCTTCTTGCATGTCAAGCGCCATTAGGTTATGCTATTAGTTTAGTTGTTGGTGGATTATTGTTTGCACGACCAATGCGTAATGCAGGATATGTTACAATGCTTGACCCATTTCAGCGTAAATATGGTCAACGAATGGGTGGATTATTATTTATACCGGCATTATTAGGAGAAGTATTTTGGTCAGCAGCTATTCTATCAGCACTGGGTGCAACAATTAGTGTTATTTTTACGGATGTTTCAACGGTAGCATCAATCATTATATCAGGTAAAATATTTAAGAAAATAATATTTAAAAAAAATTGAATTATTTTGATATATTTAGCAACTGTGGTTATTGTTTATACTCTTTTTGGTGGATTGTATTCAGTAGCTTATACTGATGTTGTTCAACTTGGATTTATTTTTGTTGGTCTTTGGGTAACTATTCCATTTGCTATGAAACATGAAGGCGTCGGTAGTATTGTTGCTACGTGGCCTGAATGGCGTGGACGTATAGAAAAATCTCAAATAGTTGAATGGATTGATAGTATGTTATTATTAATTTTTGGCGGAATACCATGGCAGGTAAAATATAATGTGATTTTTTCTTATTTACAATAGAGAAAAGTCTCTTCATTTTTAATTTATTAATAATATTTCGTGTAAGAAACAGTGTGAAAATCTAAATTGAATTTTGACAACTTTTTGTTTAGTTAATAATTGGCTTTTATCTTGTCTTGTTGCTTGTTTTAGGTCTATTTTCAGCGCGTTCTCTCAGCTAGATCAGCTAAGAAAGCAATGTATCTTTCATTTTATGCTGCTGTTGGTTGTATCATATTGGCAATACCGCCTGTACTAATTGGAGCTATTGCTAAATCTACTAGTCTGTCTAGATTTTATACTGGTTCAACTTATATTTATACATCTATTCTATTTGTTTTAGATTGGACTATGACAGATTACGATATAAATAAAGATATAACAGCACCTGAAGCAACGAAACTAATTTTGCCATTAGTTCTTTTACATTTATGCCCAAAATTTATTGCATTTATTGGATTAGGCGCTGTATCTGCTGCAGTTATGTCAAGTGCTGATTCGAGTGTACTTAGTGCTAGTTCTATGTTTGCTCGAAATGTCTGGAAACTTGTTTTTCGTGATCAAGTATATGATTTATTAATCTTGATTATTTAAAAAAAAGAAATTTTTCTTTTTCTTTTTATTTAAAATAGGCATCTGAACGAGAAGTTTTACTAGTAATGCGTATTGGAATACTTCTGGTTGGAATAGGAGCTGCTGGCATTGGCATTCTTGTATCTTCAATTTATATCCTTTGGTATTTATGTTCAGATCTTGTTTATGTCATACTGTTTCCACAATTACTTTGTGTTGTTTATGTTCCACATTCAAATACATATGGTTCATTAGCAGCATATATAACAGGTTTTCTTTTTCGTATTCTTATTGGTGAATCATCATTAGGAATTCCAAAATTCATTAATTTTGGTCCATATATTCCACCGAAAACTTTATGTATGCTTATAAGTCTTGGAACAACATTAATTATTTCTCAAATAGCTAAAAGTCTTTTTGAAAAACGTACTTTACCACCAAAATATGATATATTTCATTGTCTTGTTGATATACCAAATGAAACTTTACCATTAAAAGAAAGTTCAACAACAGATGAATTACAGTATAAAGTTATTAAACCAACAACAGGACAACAATATTTAACTGAACCAACAATGATGATTAATAATTCTTTTTCACAAAGTCAAGAAATTTTAAATTCATATGGAAAAGATTAATTATAATATTAAATGTATGTATTTATATAGTGTTATCCCCACCGGTGAATGTTGTTTTATTGCTTGCTCTTTTTTTTTTCTTCTATCCTTACATATCATTAGTTTAATAATTAAAAATCAATGGTAAACCAAAGAAGCACTTCTGTGGAGATGCTTTTACAATTTCTTTTTTCTTTCTCATTTTTTTTAAGTAGTCAGATGACTAATGATGACAAAGCATACATATCAAAATATTATTTATCAATTTGTAATAACATACATATCAGATTGCCTTCCACAAGAGAATAAAATACATATCAAAAAAAATGTTTCTTCTGCTTTTATTTTATTTTTTGTTTTTGTTTGATGTTGTATTTTCCCCGTCATTTTAAAATAAAGAATCTCTTTGTTCCTCATCTTATGATTAAAAATTTTATTATTTAAAAAACAGAAAAAATAACGTATAATAAACTGTTCGTAGTTTTTAACAGTGAAATTACAATTATGAAATTAAAAAAAAGAATTTCATTGACTATTATTTAGCGATGTCATTTGTATTTGATAGTAGATTATTATGATGATTTAACATCCAATTATATATCTTATATGATATATGTAATTTATCCTTTGTAGCTTGCCGATCAAGTAATATTTTAAGTAATGATTGTTTTGGCTCATCAATATATTTTGTTATCCATCTAAAATATGATCAAGGAAAAAAAAATATTTAAAACATATTTAAAAAGAAAAATATACTAACCTTAAAACATCATTCTCTGATCGACCGAAATCATTTCTATACCAAAGAAACAATTTCGGTAAACGAATTTCATTATTTTCTGGTATAATATCAACTTCTGAATTACAATAAGATGTTGTTGCCATATTTAAAGCTTTTTCGATATTGGTTGATGAATAAATAGCTATTTGTGGACATGAACGTGCACCACGATTAATGGTAAAATGGATACGTGGATCACAACGACGCATGGAATATTTTGCACGAGGATCATTAAATGTAAAGTGCCGTTGAGTACAATAGGAATGCGGTTTATTACCTACAAAAAAAAACAGAAAAACCAATTTAAGAAAATCTCTAATCAATTTCAAATTGAACCTCGTAAAATGCCATGTTCAATATCATCTAATGAATAAATATGTGCACCAACTTTATATGATGTTGTTTTCCAAAATTGATTTAAATCAAGAACAGATTTTGGAATATCAGTTAATGATACAATGCCATGAATTGTTAATACATTGTAAAGATCTTAGAAAGACAAAAACAAACGATGACAACAATTCTTTTTGTTTTCTGTAGTAAATATATTATTTATTGTGATAATTACTGATAAATAATGTTTTACGTTCATTTTCTGTGACATTGTCAAGACTAATTGTTGTCAAATGTTTCGTTATTTCGCATAAATCATTATAAATATTACTTGTACGTAATTGATAATAGTTAACTAGACGACCAGATGGATCGATAAACATGGATTTTAGACTAAAATAGCAAGAAATATAAAGAAAACGAACAATAAAACAATATGTTCTATTTATTTTACTTTAACATTTTCTTCTGTAATTCAATTGAAAATTGTACAGTATTATAAACATTTTTTGTTTTTAATTCATTTTCATCTTTTACTGTTGTTCCTTCCGTCATTGTTGATTTACTCATAGTTAAATTTTCTAATTGTGACCAATTAAGTACATTTAGTAAATGCGTATTTTCAATTTCTTCAGAAGATGTTGTCGAACACATTCCATTGACTACTTTGATCCGGTCTAATTTGATCGTAGACAAAAAAAAATAAACAAAATAACCGTCAATGACATCAACAATAAAGTAAAATAAATGTTGTTTTTCTTTTTTATTCCCCTGATTGTGGTTCATTAAACAGCACTCTCGTCGACACAATCTTCAATATATTCTATTTTTGATAAAGTTATAAGACTCTTACTATTACTCTTATTACAAATCAAATTAATATTAAATAATAATCGAAATAAAGTTCTAACAAAAAAAACACATTAAGATGAAATTCTTCACGGATTTCCGTTATAAATGTACACGATATGAAGATATGCCATATAAGTAATGTAACAGCGTGACATGAATAATTATAGTAGTGTGCATGTTTTATATAAGAAAAAAAAAGACTTTTATCCAATTAGTCAGCATGTTAAGACCTCAAAAAGCAGATGAGTAAAAGAGAGAAATAAATGTTAATGACATTTTCATCTATATATATGATTGCATTGACCACAACAAAATAAAAGAATTCTTCAATGACTTATTATCCATCACGAAAGTTTATAGTTGATTAATCCTCGTTTTCAACATAATCAAAATTATTTAATTACACATGGACAACTCATTAATAAAAGCGAGCGCTAAATATTGATACTTAGATCATAATCGAATACACGTAGCACGCTCTACTTATTTTCTTATGTGAAAAAAAAATAGAATAATTGTTTTGTATATACTTCTTTGAAAAATCATGCTAACGCTAGTTTCGTTATGTATAACGACGTTACACTTCAAATAACAGCAAACAACAACAAGAAAAGGAAAAGAATAATAGAAAGAAAAAAAAGACATAAATCAACTAATCGAGTTGGCGTAGATAAATTTTTAGTTATTTATATACAGTGTAATATAATGAAAATAGATGGATGTCAGAAAAAAATTTGACAAAAATATTATGTGCATGAACAATAACTAATCAAAGGAACTTGTCATAACAAATTTTAATCATCTGTTCATAAGAGAAAAAGAGAAAAAAAGTAAATAACTACATGCATACTTACAAAAAGGTCTTGTACTATTTGATCGATTAGAACGAGACATTTTTGTAAATGCTTTGTTTTTTATTATTATTAATTTGTCTTTAATATTCAATGTTTTCTTTTCTTCTTGTCTTTATTGTTGATAAGTTTCCATCGATAAGTAGTATTGAAACGTCAACTATTCTGCGAACATTCAATGCACTCGAAATCGTTTAAATAGTACCCGAGCGTTTCATATAGAGAGAAAACTTCTTTTCATATAGAGAGAAAACTTCTTTTCATATAGAGAGAAAATCCTATGACAGCACTTCTTTTTATTTTTTTTCTCCATATCTATCTATTTGCTTGTTTCTCTCTCTGTCTCTCTCTCTCTCCTTCTCTATTTGCGTTATGATGCTGATCACCATCACCTTTCTCTTATTCGCCTTTGGCTGCACTGTTATTGACTGTAACGAATGTCGTCTTGAGCATATAGGCAGATGATAGACGGGCGGAAAATGAGTACACTATACAATCGAATAAACTTCAGGATAGCAGTATATAAGAAAGACGGAAAAGGATGAGCACATCGATAAGAGGTCTGATGAGAAAAAAAAAGAAGAATGAAAGAAGAGCCGAGATGGATGTCAACCAAATCAATTTCATTCGTATGTCGTTCATCGTTTGACTAATCATTGTCATAATCAGTACGGAACATCGGCGATGCATACTATTATTATTATTATAACAAACAAATATACATGTACATAAAAATCAGGAGATGAAAAACAAAATGATAAGATCTTCATTTAAACATTTATATGGATTCATTTGTGAACAGATATGAAGGTCATATATTATTCGTTTTTAATAGAGGCAACGCAGTTCATTCTTGAAAACAAATTTAGCATTATGTCCATATGGTGAAAAAGAAACACCTGTGAAGTTTTTAAAGGCAAGAACATTTATTTATTCTTCTCTATATTTCTTAATCCAAATGAGAGTCGATGAATGAATAGTATGATTTTCAGAAATGTCTTTTTTTAGTTCATGTTATCTGAATGAACATTTCATTCAAATGATCATCTCTTCTTAAATGATGAAAAACCAAAAAAGAAATCTCCAGAGAAAAGCATCGAGTCTTGACGTTCCAACCGGATATTAAATTTGTCCGTCATGACTATAATCTAGTTTAGGCTCTCTTGTTGACATTTTTTTTCCTTGAAACCAATAATAAAAATAGCGATTAATGATGGATTAATTTTCAATTTGTCTTTATCGTTGCAGAAATAGAAATTTAATTGTCGTCTAATTCAATCAAACGATGAATAGCAAAGCAACTGTCTTATAGAACAGACAGACCATTGATTAAAAAAAGACTTACAAACGCAGTTTTTTGTTGCTTTATGTTTATATGTCATGGAAGTAGAACAAATAATCTTTAAACGGATTTTAACTAAGATAAAAACATTCAACTATTGTTCAATCACACGTAAAAGCTTAAAATACATGTATATTTACAAGAAATTCATATTAAATTGCAAAATATATATTTTTTTAGCCTTTGTATATTATTCACAAATATTCAATTGATTTAATATCTTTACAATGGTTACATTTAAATGCAAGATCAAAGTACATCTGAAGATTTGCATATCTCACGCGCATGTATGAAAAAAACAATTGTATGTAGTTTTTAAGTAAAACATACGAAACTCTTATCTGTGAATATACTTGCCTGTATTACAGTTGTGTAAATAGGATGATCAAAGTGTTCATTGTAATGTACTTTCAAGATGAACACAATTTTATCAAATTCTACATATCAATTCAAAAACGGTTGTATTCATGAAAACTATCACTAAAACGATTCTGTGTTCCAATGCAAGGTTTTACTATGTTGTAGTATGCATGACACTACATACAAGTGTTTTGTTCTTTGTATAATTATTCATATTTCGTTAAAGATCAACTTATTCTTCAATAATTATCTTATATTAGTTGAAAAAAGACTTGCTCTTTTTTCTTTTCTAATTCTTCAATAGTTTTTATATTTATGATCTCATAAGTATCAGATGATCATTAATTCCTCCTGCTTTAATGGCACTTGTAATATCAGTAGATGGTTGTATGATGAAAAATATTATGTTCAAAATCAAATTATGTATGTTCGAGTCTTATATCGGAAAAAGACACAATGCTCATGTATCATTGCTACAATATTCTTCTTTTTTTTTTGAGATACTCTAGCACTTTTTTCCGATGCACACACGAGAGCTTTTTGTAATCACATTGGCATATTCTTCCCATATGATAATATAATGCTGCATGTATAAACGACAATTCCCATATGTATAAAACGCAAATATAATATAGTCTATGACGCACTCATATGTACATCATGTAAAAGTGACTTGTGCATGTTTACGTAGTGTTGTTATGTGGTTATAGACAATTTTTTGACAATTGAAAATACATAGGTGAAAATGTTTTGTATTCTACCTTAAGTTATCGAATATAAAATTTAGACGAGATATTCATATTAATAATAAACAATTAATTGTCTTAAATTGTATTTGAAAGAAAGATTTCACATTTATTTTATATATAATTTATATCAGAAATTAGACAACTATAACAAATAGATAAATACACAAACAAACACAAGCATTGAGTAGTCTTCATTTCATATAATAGTCACACTTAAGTATTGGACAATCACCGTGTACATCTATTGGTAAATAATCATAATAGAGTGTATAAGTTGGAAATGATTGATTATGTGTACCATCTACATATGTACCTGTATAGGAATAGTTTTCAAGTGAACGCATCGGATCTAAAAGAGTATTACGTGAACGAATGTTTTCACGACATATACTAACAGATCGTGTGACTAAATCTGTTTTATCAATAATCATTTTTGATAGAGCATAGATACTCGTATGATCTGGTACAGTAATGTGTATATGACCTGGGTATTCATTGTAGAAATCGAATGTGATATAACGAAGATGAATAGTAACATATCTATTTACAAACACAAGAGAATCTATCGTATCTTAAAACGTATTGAAATTACCTAGTTTGATTTAATTGTAAAGATTCATTAAATTTTTGCTGAAATTCTTTTGAAGACTTTTTTTCAAGAATAATATTATTTGTTTTTGGTACAGATAATTTTGTTATGTATCGTAAAATACCATTACCGAGTTTTTCATCTAGTATTGCTTGATAATCAATTAAATCTTCGATTTCGAATAATTTTGTAAGAACAAAAACATCTTCTATAGACATTTCAGGTAATTGATCTTTGATAACTAAGAATAAAAATAAAAATTTCATTTGAATATAAATAATAACATAGCAAAAATGATTTTCTAATTACTAAGTCGAAATTGTTCATATAGTAAACGACCGGAATGTAGTTTATCTAGTGAACGGCAAACAGTAAGTAATCTTGTTTTGTGACCTAATAATAATGAATTAATACGTTCACATACAGTGTTCAATTGTTCGGGAGAAGTAAATATTGTTTTTGTTAATTTTGTTAAACGTTCCTATATTAGAAAATATTATTAGTAATATTTTTCTTATTATGAAAATCTTCACAAGTTCTTTTTGACGAAGAGATTTGATTTTCTTTTTTTTCTTCGTTTCCTTATCAACTGTTCCTTCATTTTGTTCGAATTGGAGAGATTGAATTAAGGATATTGTTGTTGATGGTACTTGTTTAGTATTGGACGCTTCATCTGATGAAGATTCTACATCAAAAGATTCGATAGTTTCTATCGTCTGTTGTTGTTGTTCTTCGTCGGTAGTCTCCATTTTACAATCAAGAAGAACAGAAAGAAAAAGAAAACGATTGATGATGCTGTTTAGCGGCATCTTACTATGGACACAAGAATGCATGATTTGCATATCGTATCGATTTCAACAGTGTAGAGAACAATGTAATGTGAGATTTCTTTTATAATTACTTTCAGATAGATGATCAGAACGAATATACAATAACGAAAAACTCATTCATCGAATAGATTATCTTTTTTTCAAATTTACAATATTTATTGACTAATATAATCAATAGCAGTGACTGATTATTGATTCAATATAGTTTATTAATGCATTGATCCATATGATTTGTTATAACGTTTTCTTCAACTCTAAAAAGTGTACACATATGACATCCAACGAATAGAAATTATTAAGTTGTCGAAGATTGTACGATGATGTAAAAGTTTTGGTTGGTGAAATCTACATGGCCAGCCATTGATCACTCGCACATGGGAAGGATTCGAATTAAAAAGTGAAGAAAGCCAACGAGAAAACCTCTTCAGATGTCAAATCGATTTTCAACCGAGACAATGTCCATTTGATGAGTACTAGTGATTAATAGAAAAATCTAGAATAGTTTGGTTTTTGGGGCTTTATTCTTCTCAGATATCGAAATTTTACTTTTTTTTTAACAAAAAGCTCTGATCCATGTCAGGTCAGCTGGAAAGTCGACTTTCGAGTTTCGACTTCAAACTTTGCACAAAGCACTTAATGAGATTCGTTGATTGTACAATTTTTATCTTTTTTAGTATTTTCTTTTTGGAGATATATATATATATATATATATATATAAACATAATTTGTTCTAACCTATGAGAGAATTTGGAATATGCAATATCTCAGAATCGGAGATACTAGAATAACTATAACTTGCTCAATTAATTAATCTCACTGAGAACTTTGTTCGCGCAAAGTTTGATGTCGAAATTCGAAAGTCAATTTTCTACATGACCTGAAGGGCACCACAACTTTTTGTTTAAAAATCCCAGTAAAATTTCGATATCTCAAGAACGAAGGCCCGGTAAACCAAATTATTTTAGTTTTTCTATTACTCAATAGTACTCATTAAATGAGCATCGTCTCGATCAAAAAGAGACTTGACACCTAGAGAAATTCTTTCGTGAATGTATCATTGAAAATTAGAACGATCTGCAATATTTGAAATGGAAGTGGTTCTATTCACCAACAGAATTGAATTCTGTGAAAACGTGAAATCTTTCTTAGAGTGAACAACTCGAAAATCAGTTTGTGTAAAAGGCAGTAGTAGAACACATTGTCAAACAACGACTGATCAAGAGGGAAAAAATCTTCAATCAGTTATTAATCGATCGGATACGAAGTACTCTTTCAACATATAACCTTCGTATAAATGTTAGATGTTCATGAACCAAGATGAAGTGTTCAAAAGCCATCTCTATTTTGTAACGGAAATCGTTTGTAGTATATTTTGCTCGTTTATATTGGCAATTTCCGCAACAAAAATTACGCCTCCAGATAGAGTTAAACAAGCTCCATCGAACACACCCATTTCGAGTGTATCTTGATTAGATCATTAAACGCTTTACATTGTTTTTTTTCAAAAGTATGCACATATTTGGAGTGAGCATCGAATTCTGAACAAAATAGAGTGTTTAGCTAATCAAAACTTAAGCTTTTATTTTTCTCAAAAGTTCTTCGAGTCGAAAAAGCTTGAGTATATTGTTTTTGTTTGATTCTAGTGAAAAACACATCATTTGATGTAGAATTCGATGGTGGTGACGAATAGCTAGTTCCTTTCAACTTTTTTGCTTTCATGCTGATTCAAGATACGATTTTTAGAAAAACAATGAAATTCTGTAACGCACACTATTTTTAGTTTTTTTTTCTATGTAGTTATGCTTTTTAAAAAATGGACTGATATTCTAAAAGCTTGTTAAAAACTGAACAACTTTATTATAGAAAGTTTATTTGTATGTTGTTTCGTTTTGTAGTAAAATGTTAAACTGTTAGTCCCGCTGTAAAAATTCCATTTTTTTAAAATTTTATAACAGCCGATATTTTATAAAGAGCTCAATTCGAGCTACAGAAAAATCAATGAAATTTTCTACTGATAGTAGATCTAAATGGTTTCTATCTATAATAAAAGTTTCAAAGACTTTGTTTTTGATTTAGACGAGAAATAGATGTTACAATCTTACAAAAATGAAACTCCGTAACACTTGGCGACACCGAGTTTGCTTTTTTTTCGATTTATGCATTGCTTCAATACAGCAGATCAATTTTCTGGTGTCAAGGAATTACATTTCTTTGAGTTTTTGTAATATTTTTAGCTGCATAATAGATTCAAAATAAGCTTCTTTTTCCAAATGATAAAGATCTAAAGAAAGTTCGGCACTGTTCAATAGCTTATTGCCCTTACCTATGAGGTTTCTTCAATTAGCATAACGACTTATTCTATGATGAATACAGAGTTCTAATTTTCTTCTTTCTAAAAATATGATCCTGATATCCGTGTGGTTTTTTTCGAGATAAAAAAAACTAATGTGCACTGTTAGTAATAAAAGTCGTATTGATAGTAGATTGCTCTTTTTGCTAAAACTTGAAACGACTGTAGTCATCACAGGGTGTCCAAACGACGACGATCAATGACACAGTACTAAAAATTTTTCTTCATGATGTTCGGCTTTTCTGATAATCAAAAGAGTTTGTCGTATACATTGCCACCTGATTGGACTGTTGTATCTTTGATGTATTGGAAGAAGACTGTACGTCTATAGGACGTAAACTGATCACTTTCAATTAGATTATTTTTATCTATATCCAAGGATCGGATAATAAAAATACAGTAAAGTCTCTATTCTCTGAATACTATTGAGACTAATCAAAAGTGTCCACTCTAGAAAGTTTAAGCATGATTTGGTGTGAAATAAAGAAAAAATTTCAGAAAATCTGCTTCTATAATTGCCATAGATAAAGGCCTAACTGTCCATTCTCTTTTTCATCTATCTTCATCGGAATGATTTGAATTGAAAGATTTTTCAAGTAAAACACAAAATACAATTGTTTTTAAAAAGAATCTTCTAATTTTGTTTGTCTTTTTGCTGTTGAACTAAGTTTTTTGTACCTTGTTGTACAAACTATTCGTACACTTGATTGTCTAGTTTTTGTATATTGACACGTTTTTATTTTCGTCTAACATTTTGATTCTGATTGATTTCGTAATCATTTCAATATTCTATTTTATGTTTTAAAATATTTGATGCAGAGCTGAGTGAGATATAATATATGTTTTTTCATTCAATTTATGTTATAATATACTATTACCATCGTTATTATCATGAATGAATAGTATTTTTTTTCTTGCAAAGTAAGTTTGCGTCGTGATATCATTCTTTACTTTACACATATAGCAGTCGAATCTTACACAAAATCCATTTACCCATAGTGTATACCAAACAGGTGACAAAAAAAGAGAAGGATGTCACAAAAACATATTCACATTAGAGATTATAATAGCAAAAGAGACTACATAACTGTTCACATTAAAGAGAGGCATTTACAGCAAAATCGCTCTATCGGACCCAAAACCGTTCATAACTAGAAGATGTTTATTTTAGAGAAGTATTCAATAGTAGAGGTTTTACAATATATGCAGACTTTAGTAATTGTTTCCAAGGATAATTTTCATGTGAATAGAATAAATAATTTTCTTTCTGATAAGTTATTTAACTGAGTCTCTTAAACATCAATAATGTTTTTATCTCTCATCTTAATATGAATACTGAAAATAACATCACGTTCTCCTCTAACTTTCGAGTCTGTGCTAATATTTCTAATCACCAAATACCTATAGAATTCTACGTATTCTATCGATATGTTGAAAACTAAATAAAGAAATACTAATATTTTTTATTTGCCTTTGATGACATTACTTATTGTGCTTACTATCGCAAAATCAAAAGCTACGAACATTTGCTTTAAAAAAAAAAGAACCAAGAAAAAAAAGAGATAGCATAGAAAAAAAAGCAGACATCTGTTGCTACTTTATTTTATTTTTAGTTGTATAAAAAATGGTTATGTGAGAGCAAGAGACGAAACAAGACATAAGAGAAATGTATCAGATGACGACTTTTGTTTAGTCCTTTAAGCATTTGTGATTGTAATGATTTAAAATATCTATTCAGCACGTTTATACCAGCGACGAGCTGTGACATTACCAGCTTTCATATCCTAGAAGTATATAAGAAAATAAGATAAACTTTATTTTCAACAAAAAAAAAAAAAGAAATAAACGTACAATTTGCTGTTGTCCTTGAGCATCAACATAACGTACGATTGTAGATTCTTTACCATGTTTATCACGCATTGTATGAACCCATTTATCATTTTCAAATTTGATAACCGACTATTGAAATAAACAAAAACAAAGATAATGTTTATATTTTCTAGATAAGACATTCGACTAACTTTAACAACTTCACCATCGAGACGAGTTTCATCGAATTCAACACCAGGTGTAAATTCATAGTGTGCCGATTTAAGTGTTGATTCACTTTTAAGCGACCATTTACCGTTATTTTCGCCAATAATTAATTTTGGTTTAATCAATTTAGCTGATTGACGAAGAGCAAAACCGACACCCTTTTAGAAAATTAATAAATATTTAATATATAAATATTCGAAATAAGAGAATTTTCTTACAATTTCTTTCATATAATCATCGAAATGTTCACCATCAACATATTCCCAAGTACCTTGAAGTTTTTCAATACCGCTACCAGCTGCCATATTATTTTAATAAATATTCTAAGAAATCAAATTTGAATGTAAATATATTACTATGAACGTCAAGTTCACTATGAACTTACTGAATCCACAGAAAAAGTTATGCTTGTAAATATGAAAAGACGAGGTAATGAGTGAATGAAAGAATATATAGTCACGTCTTGTTTTATATATAGTGATATCTTCTATGAGAGAATAAGAGAGGGAGAGAGAAAGAAAATGAAATACCAATCGTGTTGTATACAAGGATTTTTTTCTTTGTTAAAATAGAAAGAGAGAATGCAAACATGTTGTGATGGCGATATATGGTTGGATGAGCCTCGAAAGCTTTACATACATAATATCATTTATCACTAAATAGAATGAAAACAATGTTCGATTTCTTATCGTTAGAGTCTTGCGGTTATTCGCCGAGGAATCTGTATCATTTATCGAATGAAAGAAAAACATAGACATCCAAATTTTTTTCTTTCTAAATGAAATGCATCAAAGAGCGAAGCATCTGCTTCATAATAGTAATAACTATTATCATGTCATAATTTATTTCCATTCATATATCGACCTACTTTTTAACCTTTGATCAAGGCAAATCAATCTGACAGAGAATGATAACTGTATATTTCTATTCTCTTTGATAAGCTTTTTAACGAATATGGGCGAAAAAAAATGATATTAAATTGTCAATTCGAAGATATTTTTATTGATTATTTAATTTGAAAAAAAAAACAATCTCTTGTTTTATTTATTTCATGATTAGAAAACAATATAAAAGAAAGTTAATTATTAATATGAAAAAGTGCATATTGAATAAACTTTTCCCACGATGAATAATTCAATTCTAATTGTTCACAATAAATTCCATAACATAAACGTTTTTGCTCGTAAAAATGAATTACTTTATCAACATTTTCTAATAAAGTTTTCGGTAAATGACGATAAAGAATTGACTTGAAATTTAAAAAAATTTAGAAAAAGAATAAAAATCTCACAATTTCTTACTCGAATTTGTTCACTATCAAATGGAACTAAAAATATATTTCTTTCCGACACAGGTACTTGTAATAATAGTTCAAGAAGAATGATACCCGTAGCAATCAAATGGATTATATCATTTTGTATATTTAATGCTGAAAAAAAAATAAATTCGTTTGTTGTTTTTTTTACGTTCCAATAAAAACAAATAATTTCATCTTACCAAAAGAACTAAAACCTTGTTTATTTAAATATATTTTAAGTTCATCAAAATCTCTCATACTAAGAGATAATAAATTAGCTAAATCTTGATTTAAATCAAATGACCCATTTGTTAATTGAATTCTTTTTAATTCATTTATCATCATCGAAGTTAAGTCGATTTGTTTCAATTTATTAAATGTTGAAAAACCTTGAAAATGTTCTGGTTCATCAGTAAAATTAACTTTTTCATTTGTAGTTTCACCTTTAAGCTAAAAATTAAAATGAAAAGGATTTTGTTGTTTTTAAAAGAGAAATCATGAGACTATCGAGTATACGAGGCGCTCAATAAAAAAAGAAAAACAAAACAATTTTCCCTTCTTTTGTGTATTCATTACAACGATGTCTAAAACTACCAATCCCAAAATTTTAACTGCCAACAACATTTCTTTGAAAAGTTAGTCAATAGCGACCTTTTATCACTATCATACCCTTATGAAAAAAAAATAAAAACTTTCTTTTAAAAATCGAACTCGTTTCCACAAATTATTGGAATTTTTTATAAATTTTCCGACGAGTATAAAACGTCCACTTGATAACAATCTGTCTCCGATCGAAATCAGCAATCAAAATCGAATCGAGTTATTTGACAATTCGATTCAACAGCAATTTCTTTAGTAATCTTCAAACACGAACAACAAAATTCACGTCAATATAGGGTTCATGCTCTTTGTGTCTTGTACTTGTGCAAAGTGTATCAATCTCTTGGTATGAGAAGTCTACTGCTATTCATTTCGAAATATCATGAATATAAACTCGGTTTCGCCCCGAACATACCATGTATTATTGAATAATCAGTTACCATGTTCTAGCGAATAAAAAAAATCTTTGATCCTGCATCCCGGTAGAAAGTAGATTATTATAAAGTGGATATTTTAAATTCGTCAATTAAACTATTTTTCATTGTTGTTGACCGTATAAAACTAGTCTCAGTTAAACATTGTATTATTATTTTGAAATAAGTCATTTTGTTCAATTTTTACTTTTCTATCTTTTAATATAATTTATGAAAAAACTCGAATCATTCGTCCAAACAAGTACGACTTTTGCAAGACTTTTTCTATTACTTTTTTTCATAAGGATATGATGGTTGTAAAAGTTGATATTGACTATATTTCAAAAATGAAAGCTATTGAAAACTAAAATGTTGGAGTTCATGTGGTCAGATGTCGACGCATTGAATGCACAAAAAAAATTCTTTTTCTTTTATTAAATAGCTCATATAAGTCGAGTATCTCATAATGGCTTTCTTAATAATTTTACAAACCATATATAGTGAATCATTGGGTCCTCGATCATGAACACATGCAGCACGAAAATCTGGGTTACTTTCTACATATGAAAGATGTCGTTCAATATCATTTGTGTTATGTAGATCTATATAATAAATAGAAAATAACTCAGAAAATTTTCATTTTAATTAAGAAATATCCTTACAATCATTTTTTGAATTAATTACAAATTTGGTTTTAGCACCTGATCGTGATTCTTCAGCTTCAACTTGTACGAAACCATTGCAATCAATATCCATAACAATTGATATTTCTAATGTTTGTGAAGCAAAATTTGGTGTTAAACCTGTAAGTGTAAATTCACCAAGAAATATCTAAAAAAGCAACAAAATGAATTAACATAATAAATTTTGATTTGATATATTTTAAACTAACATTATATTTTGTAAGTTTATGTTCTCCACTGAAAACGCGAATTGAAGCTGTTGTTTGATAAGCATAAGCATTTGTAAATACAGGATAAAATTGTGTTCGAAATGGCATTGTTGTATTACGCCTAATAATTATACACATGTGACCATTAATGTCTTCAATACCTAAACTGAGTGGTGTAACATCAAGTAATAAAACACACTCTTCGTCAGTTTTATGAGCTGACTTAGGTTTTCCTTTCATCCTAAAATGCAGTCAAATTTATGTTATTGAGTACAGTTAATGCCTATTATTTCAAAGTCGTACTTCTTTAATAACATCGAATCTGTCTTGGCAGATAATTCACATGCAAATTCTCTGGAACTTGACCTGACTATTGGCATTACCGTTTGTTCATCGCATCGTGTCTACAATGAGTAATAATTTATGCAGATGATCTAAGCTTAACTCTATCTGTACATACATCAGTATACCGTCCCCATGACTCAGAAGCTTTATGGATGACATGTTTAGCTTCTGAAGCTGACTTTAATTGGTTTGCAATATCGGAAAATTTATGTTGTTTCGATTTTTGACTCGTTAAAGTGCAGAAATCCATTTTGTTGTGTAGTTTACTTGATTGCTCAACAGTTCTCCCCGGATAAATAGATTCATTTTCTTCAACAGTTGAGCACGGTTCATATGATTCTGTTCGGATTTTATCAACATCTGATAACATTTCCATTGATTCACCAGATCCACCGAATGAAAACAATAATTGTGACTCCGATGATGTGCTGCTAAATGGTAATGCTCCTGTTGTTGTTGGTGGTGGAGGAGGTGGAGGTGGAGGTGGAGGAGGAGCAAGAAAAGATGGTCGTGGTGGTAGTTGTGAAGGCACAGCAGAAAATATTGCTGAACCGTCATATTCTTTGGGCGCGAAAGTAGCATTCATGCTATTACTATTGTAGTTGACGTTACTTCCAAATGTGAATGCATGTGATGCAGAAAAAGGAGCTGATGATTGAAAACCGAAAGTTGAAGGTATTGTTGAAACATTCAATACTTGGGAGCCGAAAGAAGCGTTGGTCGTAATGCTAGATGTGAATGGATTGAACGCCAATGGTGAGGTATGAGAAGGAGGTGGTAATGTTGCAGTGGTGGTAATGGTAGTATCAGTAGTAGTCTGATACCCTACTGGAACATTAAGCCCTGAAAACATTGGATAAACATTGTTAGTGTTGATGACATTGCCTGGGCGCGAAAATAATGATGTTGTAGTTGGAGCCCAGCTTGAGTGAATCATTTGAGGCGTTTGTGGTGCAAACGTTTCCTCATTCAACATGCAAATACTCTGTGGGGAAACAGATGAATCTAATATTGTCACTTGTTGCTGTTGTTGTTGTTGCTGTTGAATTGGTGCAGAAAAAAGCATCGGTAAATCATTCAAACTATATTGTTGTTGTTTTCCTTGTAGTCGATGAACAGAAGAAGTGTACTGGTTATTTTGAGCTTTTCCCCTTGACTTGCTACATGTTTCTGAAAAAAGGATTGATTACAATTCATAACAAGTCGTTGCCATTTTAAGGACAATCTCAAAGCATCTTTTGAAAATAATAAACATCAAAAGTTATCGATAATTATTTTATCTGAACATAGGTCTCGATGTGGTAGGAGTTAAGATCGGTTAGCTGCCTTCTCCTACTGTCTTCATCATATCTATGAAAATGCTGAACTGTAGTGGGAAAATTGTCCGCCAAACTTTCAGTTCTTTCCACTTCTAAAAACTATCGAAACTCTTGTATTTGGATATAAAATATATCTTATTGAAAATTTTTACCTGTTGCAGATGAAATTTCATGAGCAAAAAGATTCATATCAAAGTCACACGACTTTTCTTGAACCGGCGCCTTTTTCAAGCGAACTTTTGACAAAACTGGAGATGCTATCTTCTTTTTTGAATATTCTTTCACTTCTTGATTTGTTTCTTTTTGTTTTCCAGTTTTCTTTGTATGATACACCATAGATTTCATCTCTTCGTAAGGAGAAGGACCAAAATCAAGTTCATGAGAATTGATTTCTTCTTGTTCTTCATCATAGGACAACGCAAAATGTTTTCTGTTACTGGGAGTAACAGTAATTTCTAGTTTCTTAGGTGTTGTGTTCGCCTCTGTCAGCGGTTCATAGCCATCGAAGAGACAAAAACCCATGTCCTCATCATTTTCTTCACTCTCTGCATCTTTTACTTGTTTACTTTCACTACGTTCTAGTCTACATTCATCAACTTCTCCGAAAACATATAAAATATAAAAATATTTAAAATTATGTTTTGAGTAAAGTAAATTTACCTATCAAATCCGACCTTAAACATGTGGAACTGGATTGTACTTCATCTACATCAAAGTCAGATGAAAACATTTTGCCATTCTTCCTCTACAGTTGATTCAAACGTTTTTCATTCATGCTATAGAATTAACTTACAAATAGTTCACCGACAAACTCACCGCGTCCGTTACGATAATCGCCACGACCACCTTCGCCACCGTAATACATTTCATCATCATCAACCGGTAACTCTTCTTCTTTTTCTTTTTCTTCCCCTTCTTCATATTCTTCCTCTTCTGTAAAAGTTGTACGTCGATGTTCTACATCTTCTCTAATAAAAATATAATCGCAATAATATACATATCTCTGCATATTCAACTTACAATATTTCAGCTTTCATACGCATATCAATTTCATCAAATCGTTTTTCTAATATTTTTCTTTCATCAGTTGTTGCATTTTTTATTTCATTAATTAAATCTATTAATATTCATTGGGTATTAACTAATAATTTTAAGAAAAATTTTATATTTACCTTTCTGCATATTTTCTTCTAATTCTCGAGCTTTTACTTTTTGCTTAAATGTTATTCGATATGTATCAATAATTGCTACCATTAAGTTATATTTTGCATCACCACCAGAACGATATGATATATTCTGACAAAGACTTTCATATTCATTTAATAACTCAACTTTATTTGATATTGAAGCACTATCAAATAAACGTTTTCCATTAATTAATTTATCTTTAATTATATCAATTTGTGATCGATCACCGTCCCAACCAATGTATGGAAGTAAATCAATATCATTTTCAAGCATAACATCAAGTAATCGAACACCTGGTTCAAGTGCTTGTCCATCACGTTCTTCAATAGCTACAAAACTTGTAAATGAACTCACAACAGAATATTTCATACTAAGTTCAATTAAATCTTGTTTATATTTCTTTTTAATAAGTTCATTTTCACATTCATCATTATGTAATAAACCATTTTCATAATCTTGAATAATTGCACGAGCTGTTAAACAATGTAATATACGGCCTTTTGTGTCAGTTATTTTATTACTAAATACGGTGGTAACATACTCTTGATTATTTATTGTCGCTGTTAATGTTGCTTTATGACAATTCTGTATAAAACGATATGCAGTTAAGCGCATACCATTAAATAATGATCGAATTATATTTGGTGCTTGACTAGTAAATTTTTCTTGTTGATCATTAATTCTTCCATGCCAATCAATGGATACATTTGTTATACATGGTTGACCAATATGTTCAAGTATTTGAAGTACTTTTGTTTTCCATCTTGAACGATAATTTGAATCAAATATAGTTGTTAAACCACCACCATTCATCTCATTAGCTAATTGTCTTAAATTATGTTTATTAGATGTATCACCAATTGAACATGTAAATAAACGATCATGGCGCATTGATGATTGATTTTTTAATAATGTTAAAATAGATTGGAGATCATTGATATGCCCATCTGAAAGAAGAATAAATTGTCGACCAAGTTTAGATGAGGATGGTAAAAGAGAATATTGACGAAGTACAGAAAATAGATCAGTATTACCACGATGATCAAGTGAATGCTATAACAGATATAGACTTAAATATATTAAAAAAAGAAGAAACAATACAAACCAAAACAAAATGCTTAGCTTTATCAATATTTTCTTTTGTATTTTGTGATGCAATAGGAAAACATTCATCATTATCTAAAATAAATAAATTAATGAAAAATAAAATATAAAAATATTTTTCTGGATTTACCTGATCCAAACGTAACAATATTAAAGAAAATATTTCTATCAGTTTTCATATTCGTCAAAAATAAATGTGTTAACTGTTTTGCTTGTTGTACATGCTTTCCATCCATAGAATTTGATACATCAATAATAAAAATAATTTCCACATATTCATTTGAATTATTAGCTATTTCAAATTTTGGATAAAATGTTAACATACATGCTTGACAATTTTCATCAATCGATTGATTATTAGTATTTGTATCAGATGGCGCATATGTTTCATTTAACATGCGTGGTAAATTAACACTTTTTAATGTTATTGAAAGAATAAAATCTTTTTCAAATAAAATATTATCAACAAGTTCAATCATAGCAAGACAATCAGTTATTTTTCGACGAAGTCGATGTGTAGGTGAAAATAATTTTGTTATTTCGTATGGCATACGTATTGATGTTTTGAGACTAAATTCAACTGATTTCATTGAAGAATTATCTTGTTCAAGATTAATTGACGGAAGTATTGTTTGATCTTTCATTTGTAAAGCTTGTTTTGATTGCCATGAAGCTACTTTAGCTGGCAAACGAAATATAATATCATTACTTTCAATAGATAATTCAGCAACATATGTGATTTTAATAATCACTTCACAATTAGCTGGTAAATTACCAACCGATACACTGAATACTTCAGGTTGTTCTTGATGCATTAAATATGCGCCATGACCTTTTTCAATAGCTTCACGATATTCACGTTTAGCTTGTTCTTTTTCTTTAACAACACCTTTAATTATTTTATTATTAATATGAGCTTCAAAACCACAAACCGAAGAATTTTCATCCAGAGGAAATACATATTTTGCTTCAATTGGTACTGAACTTGAATTATGATAAACTTGATAAAGAACAACCTAAAATAATTTATAAAAGGTGTTTTGTTTTTACAGAAAAGAAAATTATTTAATTTACTTCAGCAGTAACATCAACAAGTTGTGCACGAATATGAAAAGCTTTCAGTGGAACAAGTTCACCTGACGATGGACAAACTAAACCATAGTCTTGTTCTGCTACTTGAATTACTTCATCTTCGATTGTTGAAGGAATATCTACTGAAATAAATATATACATGTATGATAACTACTTTATCGACTGAAATACTAACGAAGGAACGCTTCTAAGTGTCAAATCGTTTTTGAATCTGGACGACGTGGATCATATAGGCTCTAATCCACTATGAATACTCTGAAAAGAGTTCAGACTAACAGCTTATTACAACTGAGATATTGTATTTTTTAGTAGAATTCCGTGATCGCTCTTAGAAATACTAGAAAAACTAAGTTTTGAATTTTGATTTGAAACTTTACATGAAAACAAGCCCTAATGAGAATAGTTTATTGTAAAAGTTTGAGATCTTTTGATTATTTCTATCCTAAGATACGGCTATTGTAGTAAAAGCATGTTTTTCACGCAGCTCATATACGTCGACGTATTCCAATGTTCTTATTTCAAAATAGATGCAATCGAAAAATCTGAAACTTTCACAATAAACTATTCCCATTAAGGCTTGTCTGTGTGCAAAGTTTCAAATTGAAATTCAAAGCTCAGTTTTTCTAGTGTTCATGAGAGAGCCACAGTATTCTGCTAAGAAATTCGGTAAAAATATAGTATCTCGACAGCAATTAGCTTTTAGTCCAAATTCTTTTTCAGGTATTTGTATCTCATTAGAGCCTACACGATACACCTATTCTCGATTCAAAAGCAGTTTGACAGTTATAAACGTTCCTTCATTAGTTTAAATCATTTTCTTTATAATATTGCTGGAGATTGCTCAATCGAAAATATATAAATGGTTAATGAATTACAGAGATATTGACCAGAAGTTGCTCTTGTAACGTTATATCTAACCGTGACCCATTTATCAAAGAGTCACTGTATGAGAGTCACGCATCGATTCCACTGAACTGAAAATTTCAAACTTTTGTTCACATTTGCGCATAGGCCTAACTGTAGTTTTTAAGAGAAAATATGTGAAGGAATTCTATCGCGCTAATCTAAAGAAAAGTTATCTACATGATGAAGTGCTCTAAAGCCACTCTATACACCTTTGTAACAGACTTTTTTCAGACCAGTACGTTGAAACTGTTTGAAACATTTTTCTCCGAAGACTAATCACGTAAATTTATCTGGATACGTAAGCAAATGTTTGAGATCTTCAATTGAGCTGAAGCATTCATGAGTCTCATTTCATAATTCATGTCAACTGTTTATAGAGAAGTTGAACGGTTACCGATATTTATTTAAAATACCAGATATATTTGAACTTATTCTATTAATAGTATATAATACATCTTCATTGCATCAAAAGGGAGCTATATTTCTGAAGAGTCAGTCTTTACTCTCAGCTGATCTCCATCTTTATGTGTCGTTCTTGTTATCACCTTCAACTAATTATCTGCCTTCAACTTAGTTTCTTTCATTTGGTAGTAACATAAGTAATGAGATTTAGAGAAAAATCTAAGAAATCCCTAAAAAAACTACTCTTGGAAGCTGTTACTATGAGGATGACAAACGTCTTATCTAGGGATCAATATATTACGATAAAGATTTATCGAAGAGAATCGACACGAAATTAAGACGAAATATGAATGCTGTTATATATTATGACTTATCTGTGATTTGGTTAGAAAAACCTGATTACCTTCATCTGACAGGGATTTTGACTGATTTGTTACAGAATCACGAATAATAGGTACTAATTTTGGTGATTGATCCGTATTGTCATATGGTATCCATGAAAGTTCAACAAGATAAAGTAATCGTTGTTGATCAAGATTATAAATAGCATATTCATCATCCTAAATAAACATTATAATAGAAATCTGATCGAAAACATGACTTATTCCTTACAATAAACTTTGAATTATTTTCATCATTTTTTTTTACTCCATGTGTACTATGAAAATTTTCAGGCGGCTGTGTTAAATTTGGTGAATATGAATAGAATGTAGCAGAATCTCCTAATGCTACTTGAGATATACATAATAATCGTCTACCAGGACGTGTTATACTTGGTGTTGTATATTTTAATGATGTTGAAACTGAATCAGAAAAATAAAGTCCATATCCTAAGCACCCAATATCAGTACGTGCAACTCCTAAATCATTAGCAACTACTTTTGGCATAAGAAGACCACTAAAAAGAAAATTAAAAAAAAATTGAATATAAAATTAAAAAGGACGATTGTTTTGTTTTGGATCGATTTACCGTGATAAAATACCAAGAAAATTATTATATTTTGATCCATGAAAAAGTTGTTTTTGATTATACAGTGTTGAACAAAAATTCAATGCATCTGTTTGTTTAGCTACACTATATATTTGATGAATAATTACTTGTTCATTTCTGCAAAAATATAAAATTTTTGATTTTATTTTGGTAATTACAAACAACAACAAAATACGAACACATTCGTTGATGAAGAAATCATATTACTAATTGTTCCATATTCATGCGTATCATTTTTTATGGCTTCTATATGGCATTTCAATGCTCGATATTTTGCTTCGATTGATGCTTTTATATTCCAATTTGTTAATTCATTTACAGTAATCATATCGCGTAGCATCTAAATTGTGAAAAAGAAAGACTAGAAAAAGAAAAAAAAAAGATGAAAATAGAATTTCTACCTGACATAAGTCTAATTTATCAATTAATGCACGACGATTATTAACAAGATCGACAACAAATGATTTTTGATGAGGAATAAGTGAATAGAAACGAGTTTCTGCTTCTGATGATGATTTACTATCAGATTTGATATCAAGTAAAGCAGCTTCTGCTTCAATAATCTAATAACAATATGAAAAAAAACAATAAACAAATTGTTTTTTATATATGTTTCTTCCTACTGTTTTAAGAGCAATTGCCTCTGGTTGTACAGAAAGTATTTTATTTAAATCGCCAATTGATTCAATCCAAAGAGATTCAACTAACTGACAAACATTATCGTCAAGCATTTGTGTATCGATTCGATGAAGAAATAGTGACTATAGATTAATAGAAATTTTTTCTCGAGCAAAAAAGGATTTTATGTTTATCTTACACGTAATAATAATTTAGAACTTAATTTATCAGGTAATAAATCACGAATTCGTATTATTCGTGGCATTGTTGCAATACGATTATAATATGAAGCATATAATTGATGTAATTCACTAATATCATTACTAAATGCATATTGAATTAAAGTTATTTTACCTTTTGAAGTTGTTATTGTTTGTTTTTCATAACGAAATCTTAATTGGTAATCATTGCTTATTTGATTATTATATTCTTCTGGAATAATTTGAAGTTCAAGAGAAAAATAAACATCAGAATTTTCATTTGTTTCCTATTTTACAAGAAAATAAATAAACAATAAATTTATTTCTCAACAAATACGTATTTACTTTAAAAATTGCCCATTTGCCAATTTCAGCATGTGTCAATTCATCAAATCGTGGTATTTCAACATCGTCAGAATTCCAAATTTTTATTTTTGATAAATCTAACTTGACAGGTTTTATTGTACTACTTGAAGGATTTCCTCCACCTATGAGAGAGAAAAAAGATAGTAATCATTTATGTTTCAATGAAATCAGTTTATTAACCTGTAACAGGTATAGTACCACTTTTTGAAAAATTTTCTTTATCTTCTGCTGACGTTACAATAAATCGTTTAATATCAATAGATGCAGTTTCATTAGACGATTTACGATATTCATAAATATATTCAACATTTACTAATGGTATACCAAGCTGTTTAGCTCGACGAGTTTTATATGTATCAATATCATTGGAAACCAAAACATAATCAGTCTAGGGAAAAATTAATTTAATTATATTTAAATATAATATTAATCAAAACATACACTAGCTGTCAAAATATATGAAATACGAGCGTTTTGCTCACGTAAATAGTTAATAAGTTCTTGCTTAGCTTTGAAACGAATATCTTGACCAAGCTCAAGTACAAATGTTTTACCACATAATGGTAACATAGACGAGAATACTGTCAAATGAAGACTAAAGTAATGGTAAAGAGTGAATGTGCCTTGTATAGGTTATTTTTTTGTCAACGATTGAGAGGAAAAAAAAATCTTACACGTAACATTCGATGATTCATACGCTATACGATAACGTGCGCCAACAGAGAAAGGCAATCAAAGACTATTGCATATTTTTTTTTTATTGTTCTTTCACCAGATGTCAGAATACTGTTCTTGCACAAGTCAATGAAATTTTTTCGTTTATAATCTGCGGGTTTTTTATTATATGCTGAGATATATTATTTATAATAATAAACAAGAAAGTAAACAAAATTAAAAAAAAAATACAAATAAAAAAAAATTAAAAAATACATTCGTTTAATTAGTAGCATTCTCTCTTACTGTTCACTTGCACTGATAGTAATTCAAGATGAAATTCGTTCTTGATCAATATTAATTTCATCAATTACTACTGAATACATAGGCCGGATATCTTTCAGCATTATAAATACGACTTATTTGTAGCAACATATAACCAATTTCTGGATCATTTAAATAAGTTGTGATTGTACTGGGATCTTCATATAAATGAAGCATAACTAAATTAAAAATTTTCATTAAAATAATACGAATTATTAAAAATAAAAAATCTACCTAAAAATATCCTTGGTTTATTAAGTGCTCGTTGAACAATTGAGTTTTCCATAATAGCTTGAAACATACTTGAATTTAGATCAAGACTTTGTTCATTAATAGCACCAATAATATTTTTTTGTTCTTCATCAACAATAAGATATTCACACTAAAAAAATTTACAGATAAATATCAGTGAAAAATAAGAATTTTTTTCATACAGCTAAACTTTCATTATTATGATATATTCGTAAAGCATTTATTATATCATCATGATTGAAACCCATTTCTTTTAATGATTGAATGGCCTATTTAAAAAAAAAAAACGAAAGGATTTTTTTCAATTAAGCATAATTGTCTTTTACTGAGGGATTTGGTTGAAAACATTGCTTTCGAAATTGTCGAAATGGTATAAATGGACCGTAACGTGAATAGATGGATTTTGTTTGATTCAAGTTTTTCGATCCTTTCTCATCATGATCAGTATCTTCTTGGCTTGAAAGTAATTTCATAGCAGCATTTAAATCATACCTTAGAAAAAAACGTATTGAAATTATATAAAAATAATTTTCTTCTGTAATTTTTTTCTAACTTCGTTCGTTCAAGTGCTTGTTGTGCTTGCTGTTCAGTAAAGCCCATATGAACTAGTTTCTCGACTTGATTTGGATGTATCTCTGTATGGTTTGATTCTGTTCTCGATGATCTTGAAAGAATTTCTATGGAATACAACAAGTGAGAAAAAAACAAACGAATTTTAATTAAGAAAACAATATACCTTCAGCTTCCTTAAAGATATGTTCAGCATCTGGACAATACCAAAGTAATTTATGTGATGCTTCAACCAATGTAAATAGTACACGACTAAGATCAGTACGAAACTAAATATTATGAATTTATTTTTTTCTTTGGGAGGAGGGAGGGGTACAATTAAGAATTGAATATTACTTCTGTTCTTCCCGCTAAACGTTGAGATTGAGAAAGTGAATGTGTAGGTAATGGAAGAGCTTGTGTTCGATATTCGATTAAATCCTGATTTATAGAAGAACGTTCGAATGTCTATATAGTCAAATATATATAGATTTTGAAGGATGCAGTTCTGTCGTTATACTTGTTTAGCTTGCAATGATTGTGGAGGAACTTTTGTTGTTAGAAGATATTCATCTAGAAAAAAATTTTCATGAAGAATAAATCAATATTTCTTGACGAATAATCTAACCTCCATCTTTAACACATTCTTGACCTAGCGTTTTCTGTTCGTCCATAATTTTTCTTGTTTCAATCGATATTAATATATAATTATCCATTTCATTCATTCGCATGTCACGCATTGAATGATCATAACTCGATAAATGGCCATTACTATTCCTTAATAAAAATCCCTTAGCTAAATATTTAACATATGCAAATGTTGTGTTCTCAACCGGAAATATATCTTGAAACATTGCACCAGTTTTTGACCAAATTTTTAGCATAACATGTTTTGATTGATTATCACGAATATCGAATATTGCACTTGCTGTTTCTGTCATTTTATTAACAAAAAAAGCAAAATCTAGAAAAAATGAACCAAAAATTTTTTTTGTTTTTGCTTTTTGTCTGTTGCATTCGAAAGAAATACGAAAAGAAAACTTTGTTACAACAGAAACACACAAAAAAAGAAAAGAAGAAGACATTTTCTCTCATTTCGGCCTTATACATATATCTGTAAGTTGAGAGAACAAGGGTAACAAGAGCACACAAACACACACAAACAAATAAACGAAAAAAAAAGAAGAAAAGAGAGACAAATACGAAATGAACATTTTCGATTTTTTTTTCTTGTTTTATTTTCAAAATACATATCAGTGTTTAAGTTTATAATAGGAATTAAACTAGACAAAAGATAGAGTCAATGTATACAAGTTGAACGATATACTCACATAAACATATAGAAAAAAAACTTATTTACAGAGACAAACTACAGTGATCATCAATTACATGTGGAGAAGTATATGCGAACTGTGTAAAAAAAAACAAAAAAAAAGAACAACAAAAGCATTATTTTGTTTGTCTCTCTTCCTTTTTCTCTCTTTTCATTGTATGTTTACGATAATGATTAATTTAGATTAAGATACTGCCCATTTTCTTTAAGCCAATCAACAGCACATGCTTTTACATGCGCCGTTATTCCTTGACATTTGAGTGATTTTCGACATTGAACATTTGGCTAAAGAAAACAATTCATTGCATTCAAAAACTTCACTAATTCTCAATTTATTTTTGAGTAAGTTCAGATGGACTTATATAAAATAGGACAGTTCTGTAGATTAGTTTTAGTGAAGAACAATTCTTTTCAACGTATCGCATTTCAAACGATATAACCTAAGCTGACTGAAATTCGAATGAACATAATCTATAAAATTCATTTTATGCTGAGTTCAAGTTTTTGCAATGTTTTCATAGAAAATATGCTGTTGCATAGGTATACAATGTTCATTTACTCTTTTTCGAATTCAATTTTAAATGAATAAATTATAGACAACGTGAGAAAATATTTCTAAAAAGCGAAAGGCTAATTTTTTCCAGGAAATCAAAAAGAAACCAATTCTTGACGATGATTATTTATTAGTTCATTTCTCATCAAAATTCTAAATTTGTTTTTACTAAAGAAGTAAATTGAACAATTTTCAGATAGATTTTTTTTATTGAGAAAGTCATAATCATTTTGTTGTCTTGACAATCTTGAACTTAATACAACACAATCGAAAATTTTTTCCATTCTTTAATCTTAAAACGAATAAGATTTGCTAAAAATTGCTCAGGAAAGACTTCGAATTGAATATCCTTCAAATCGAGTTTTGAAACTAAAATAAATCTCTGATTTGAAATTTGTATATTGAATTAATTTTTTCATACTTACACATTCATATTCTCCTTCAGCGTTTTTCATTAGTAAAGTCACAATTTTATTTTTACCACTTCGTCGTTTTTTAACTGCATTGACTGCTAGTTGCTGTGATGATCGATCTTGATGATGTGAATTTGTTTGATGATGATTACCATGTCCAGTACTTGTATGATGTTGTTGATGATGTGATGGAAGTTTATTGGGATTAGTTGTACCACTACCATTTTGTTGTGCAGTTAAATTATGATGTGCAAGATGATGATTTGTTGCACCAGCAGCAAGTGCAGCAGCAGCAGCTGCTGCTGTTGATGCTGCTGCAGCTTGTTGTTGTGTTGTTTGACTAATATAACCACATTGATGTTGTATAAGTGCTGCTTGTGACATAGAAATTTTTCCAACTGTAGCCCATCTCTCAAGTAATTCACATAGTGTACGCTGTTTTTCATCTAGTACTTGTGCTGTTGTTGATGTTGGTTGTTGTTGAGACGTTGTCAATAATGCACGAATATTTGCTTTGACTATATTCGTTTCTATTGATACCAAAAAAGAAAAAAAATTAACTAAGAAAAGAAAAGCTAAATGTTCTTTTTACCATTAATTAATTGTTCAATTTCATATCGTAATAAATTTTCATGTTCATGTATATGATCAATACAAAGTAATAAATGACAATGTGGACCTAATATTGAAGCAGAAAAAAAATATATTGAAATTAAATAAATTCAAATAGAAAATCTTACAAGAAACATAAAGATTTCTTGAACACGTTAATAAACCATTTTCATTTCTATGTTGACATTTAACGGATATTGTTTGGCATATACCAGAAAAATAAAGTGACGATGCTTGATCATCAGCTGTTTGTTGTGTTGCAGCCATATGTGTGCCGGCTGCCATTTTATTCGAAGAAACAAAAGAGTAAAATTTTGAAGTTCTTTCTTTGTAAACCAACTTTGAATTTGAATTAATTAAAATGCAAAAAAAAAGAAATAAAATTAATAATAAATGTTGATCTTGTTTTTTTTTTTGGTTTTGGTATTATTTAATTGGAAATATAAACAAGAAAATAAAATGGCAGCGTTCAATTAGACTTGACAAGAGAATCTAAAGAGAATAAACAATAATCGTAATTGACGATCTTTTGACAAAAGAAATTCCAGCTGATCCAACTTCATTATCCATACTTTACATTGGAAATGTTGAGGATCAACAGCCATCATGATTTCTGTTGACATTCATTATGTGTAGAGGTCTTTGTGCTAATTTTTTTTTTTTGATACGATATTAGCGACATCATTGATATCAACGACGATTGACATGAAATCATTTATTTATTTATTTGAAATGAAAACTAATATTATTTGAAAAAGATTAAATGCTTGGTTTAGGTTTCGAAAGAAGAATAAAATTATTTGATAGATGATGAATCATCACTACTAGAGTGGTGGCTTTTTTGACAAAAAGATTTCGATTGGTGTTTTGTATTCAAAGTGAGTTTTTTACTGATAGTGTTAGAATTTTTGTTTTTGATATAAGGAAAATAATGCTGGATTTATTATACATAGATATTTAATGGATTGTTATTAAAAAAACAAACTATGTATGATTGCAAATAATAACAAAATACTTGACACACTGTTATTGAAATATATTTTGAATTTTCAGAAGATCGTACCGAATATGAACTTTCTAGTAACATATAAATTAATGAAGAACTTGGAATACACTTGAGTCTTGTCTATATTGTTACTTAATGTCTTCTCAACTTATTTTTAAAAGAAAATATTCAACAAAAAAAAGTCTAGAATGAATAAGAAATAGACTGGTTTCTATTAATAGAACTCACTTCTATTCAAGTTAACGAAAGTTTATGAAGACCAAATAGATCTGTATAATTTAAACATTGATGATCGTAACTTATGAATAAAAAAATCTTTGCAAAATATGTCTGTTCAATATTCCTGCATTTAGAAAAAATCTTTGATGAAGGTGCAAATCGACGTTTGTACAAATTTTTCATATTGTTTATTTTAGTATTTTGATTAAAAATGCCTCAATCCAAACTATAAGAAAATCTTTTCATACACTAGCTTGTAGGAGGATATTTGATCTATAAAATGTCCAATTTGTTTATCTTTTTATATGTTACTACAAATGATCGAAATCTGTTCCATTTAAAATATTGAAATTTGTAAAACGAACGAGTTTGTTTGAAAAATGCTGTCTAACTTATGGAGTTAATATTCGAAAAATGTTTATAGTTTTCTGTTCTTTTGAGTTCTAGCTTATTAGAAACCTAAACCATGATTTTATAGAAAATTAAATTCTCTATAGCAATAAAAAATCAAAACTACATCAACATACCCTTCAGAGAAGTTATAACTGATAGGAAAAAGTTTATTGGTCTTGCGAGGAAAACCCTTCAATTGAATAAATGCCTTTGATTCGAGTTTATGTGCAAGGTGTAAATTCTAATAAGCTATGATTAACTTGAAAAAAAATGATGTCACTTCTCTTGTATCTGTTGAGATATTGTAGTTTTATGGTACTTTTTAAGTCAATATCGATTATATGAACAAGTTTACCATCATTTACATTAATAACTACTATATTAAATAACACGAAATGAAAAGCAATTTTAACTGATGTTGAAAGATCCAGTTAAATCACCAGTAATATTATAACCAAAGATATGGAATACAAAGTTGTATATTCGCGTTATATATCTGACAGTCAGCTACGTACTGATTTACCGCAAGAATTTTACCAATGGTGGACAACATACTATGTTTATGATGAATCACCAGTTCAATGCGATAAAATTCGGCTAGTAACAAATACGCATTGCACGCTGAAAAGTTTCTTTATACAAGAGACCTCCACGTAACATGGAAAACACATAGACGACAGTCATTTCGATATTGTCATCAAAATCCAAGAGAAACAAAAGATCTAAGCAAAACTTCTATAACCGTGAAATGTATTATAATGTAGCGACAATCTAGATGCATAGTTTACTGCTATCCTCGTTAATAGTGTTTATTGAATTATTTCGTATGCCCATGTTGTACTTGATTCACATAGAGCATACGCTTATATAGAAGAGAGCAAGATAGGAATGAGCACAGGAAAGAACCATAGAGATAAGATAAAGAGGTAAGAGGTAAGAAAGATCAATAGGAAGGGATATCAGTATCGGCACACATACAATTTGTACACTATTTATAGAAACCAAAATAGATATTCATCTCCAACATATACAGCGTTTTCTCTATTATCGAATATTCAATAAGTAGTCAAGCACTACTGTCTTTCATGTTAACATGAACTCTTATCCTAGATTTATTCAACTTCAGACAATTTAATCAGCAACTGATTCAATATTAAAAGCACATCCTACTATACGAAGTCAACAAGATGAAAACAACTTCAATTACATCCTTTATCATAGATTTACACTGTAACTGCTAAATTTCGAAACGTGTCGTATCGATGCGGTAACTTTTGCTTCTATAAGTGCACATTCACACCCACAGCTGGAAGTGCTTGTGGTTTCAAAACTGGCTCATGTTATTTCTTCAGAATGTATTCTTATTTCTTGATTTTGTTCCTATTATGGTGAAGCGCATCATTCCCGTTGGAAAAGTTCACCAGAGATTGTTTAATTTGCGATTGAAAACTGTTAGTTTAGTTGAAATCAATGATAGTCTAGGGTTAGTATAAACGAAGTTCTTTCGTGTCATATTGAGAATTTAAGCAAGTTCTTTTTCAGAGTATCTATGAATTATGGAAAATTTAAACACATATTGTCCATTGCAAAATGTTTATCACTCCCATTTATGCTTGGATCTCTTAAACCACCATATGATATAAACTTCACAACGTCTACTATAGTGAACTCATTGAACACTAGATGGGATAATGCGAATACTTGAAGAGTGAAAGTTACACTCACAATAACTGTGCCAGCATAATAACCAACAATACTCAATTGTAAATTATGATACCATGAAGCAGCAGCAACTGCAACAGAGGGCAATGCAAATACACTGCTATTGGTACTTGTAAGAATCAGTGAATGGGTAAATTCATTTAAAAGGACATTTGGCATTCTTACGATGACTGTATCATATCCACTTGCATTTGCACTTGCAACATAAATGTATTCATATGTAAAATTTGCCATGTTGGCAACCTAAAAAAGGAAGTGCAATAGAAATTGATTTAGATGAAAATGTCTTCCGGTTTAAGTACCGGGTGTCCGGAAAGTTTCCTACAAAAACCAAAATTATATAGCTTCATCCTAGTTAGACTACTAAATGATCTTATTTTTTTCTGATGATAGAGGAAGGTTCTAAGTTTGTATTCATCAGCAAAAAGTTTATTAACCTAACTCAAAACTATTATTATCTAACGGGTGTCCCAGAATAAATTATACCATTCGTATTTTGAGTATAACTCTTCTATTATCCATTAGATCGGGACATCTTTTTATACTAAAAGATAGCGCTTGAAATTCTCTACAAAATTATATATGACTAGTCCCAAAAACTGTCTTAGATNGTATCGATCACTCGATACTCAATATATTCTATATATGACACGACGACAAAGTCGATTATTAAAACATGTTTAGCTCTCTAATTTTGGCAGACTAAATATTAGTTCTACCATTGCTACATAATCCCCAAAACGAGAGCTAACAATATCTATAAATTTATTCAATTTCTAAAAGAAAATCAGTTTCTGATGATTAAATATGATTTAACTATCATGACAGAACTTCCGCTCTTCACCATTTTTTGGCGAAAGTTTAGTGATCTTTCATCTATTGTCGTAGAACAATATGAATGCAGTATAATTGTAAGAACTATATGTCCAATGTTATTGAAGAAATGTAACTTGATGTTGGCACTCGGAGTGTGTTCAAATTATAGGTGTCCATCATGATTGGAAATCTACTGCTGCCACGATGAGATAGTATTTTTGAAACACCTCTCGCACCGCAGTAATTGTAAAACAAGTGCCGCTGACATGATCGAGGTGGTAATAACGCTATAGACGTTTCTAATTCAAATATAACTGTATCAATTTTTAGTTAAGAAATGTGTAAATAAAGAAGAAACAGAAAAGAATACATGTCATATAAATTAACTCAGTCACCATCCGATAATGAACTTAAAGATGAAAAAGATAAATTTTACTTTGAAACTTCATTTTTGTTTATTTTCTTTTTGCTTTTCTGACCAACAGATTCGCCAATAAGATGGAAAAGAGATATTATTGTATCAGCCAACGATCTTTTTTTCAAGTTCAGCAAATGTAATAATTCTTCCATCTGCTTAGTCTTATGTGCTACTGTACCTTGTAGCGGGTGTACTGCTGAAAGTCCTGTTAGCAAACTTCGGGGTCATCTATCACGAATCCTATAGATATGTCACGATGCTAATTATCAGTTTGTTCGAATCACTAAACGACTTACTTTAGTCTACTTAGCTGAAATAAATATTTGATGAGGAAGTCTGAATTATATAGAAGAATTAACCACATATGTAATTGACACATTGACTATACTGAATCGGCACTCACTGATTTATCGAGCATATCCATACTGTATGAGTGTATCAATGCTTCAGTATTTCTGAGATTAATTTTAGTTAAATGAACGTATTTGATCTTGATCGAATACATATTATTCTAAGAATATCGCTTTTTTATGGTTACAATGACTGTTAAGTTTGAAATTCATGGCATGAATCAGAGAAGGAACTGATCAGGTAATCTTTGGTTCAGTTCTCATAATTCATTGAGTAGTGAAACATTGATGTTCATTTTCAATGAATCTAAGAATTGGAGAACGAATTGTAACCAAAGCTGAAGTTGAGTTTTTGGCAAATGGAAAATTCATTATAATGAGATTTTATTACAATATAGAAAAAAAAATACTTCGATCCAGTTTAAAAATTATATATTTTTAATCATTTTAGAACAGCTGTCGTATGTCCGATAATTGATGTCATCAATGATAATGATTTTGCTTATTTAACTGGTAGTGATATGACTTGGGTACGTCAACATAAAAACTAATTATTTAATATGAAAATTTTTTTTCTAATTTGTTAAGGGTGGATTTAATTGGAGATTAAATTTTCGTTGGTATCCAGTACCACAACGAGAAGAAATTCGTCGAAATAATGATCATTCTTTACCATTATTGTATAATTGAGATATTCATAATATTGTTTTTTCTTTAATTCGTTTTTTTTTAAATTGAATAGATCTCCAACAATGGCTGGTGGTTTATTTACAATAAATCGTGCATATTTTTATGAAATTGGTGCTTATGATCCAGGTATGGAAGTATGGGGTGGTGAAAATTTAGAAATGTCATTTCGTGTTTGGCAATGTGGTGGAAAAGTTCTTATTCATCCATGTAAGAAATATTATTCAAATTCAACATTATATTTTTAATCAAATAATTCCTTTAGGTAGTCATGTTGGTCATGTATTTCGTAAACAAACTCCATATACATTTCCTGGCGGTACTGGTAATGTTATTTATCATAATAATAAGCGTCTTGTTGAAGTATGGCTTGATAAATATAAAGATCTTGTTTATGCAGTTATGCCTGGTTTGTATGCATTAGCAATACAAAAAAAAAGATTTTATGGATTTTTGGTTTTTTTTTGCAGAATTAAAACGTGTAGATGCTGGTGATGTATCAGAACGTCTTGCACTTCGTGAACGTCTTAAATGTAAAGATTTTCAATGGTATTTACAAAATATATATCCTGAAAGTTCAATGCCTGTTGATTTTTATCATGTTGGAGTAGTAAGTTTGACTTTATTTTTCACGTAATATTTTCAGTGATTTTCAAAATCGTGTTGAAATTTTTGTTACATATAACTCCTATCTTTCGGATGAATAGTTAAGAAATGAAGTATATGATTGTGCTGATTCATTTGGATTCACTAATGATAACGCAGATAATCACGATGCAGGCATTTTACCTTGTCACAATCAAGGCGCAAATCAGGTGTGTATATTAATCTTTGTTTTTTTTATCTTATTTCAGATACGTACTGAGTCAATGTCTTGCTTAACTTTTCATCATATCTACGGTAGTCAAGGGGCGAATCGTACGACTACATTAAATATACAAAAATGTATTAATCGAACGCGTTCGCCCACGGCTGCCGTTTATCAGGTGCGGGAAATAAAGCATGTTTAAAAATATTCACTGTTGCTTGATCACGTTGATTTTTGTTTGCGACTGTGAATGAATATATTAATTATAAACAAATAAGACTTTGTAGTTGTAATATAAATTATCTGCATGCAAAAAAAAAAATTATTAAAAGTGTGTTTATTTTGAACAGAAATGAAAGCAAAAGATGTAAATGATTTGAGAAATTACGACGTTGACAGATAGAGCCTATCAAATCTACTACGAAATTTAGCCGTCATAAGTGCTTAAATTCAATAAGTTCTATCTGCCGTTTAATGCACTTTTTATCTTGAAATATAATAATAAATGATCGTAGAACGATGTCGGACATTTTCATCTATTACAAATTTTGCTCGATGTTTTTGTTTTTGTCAATCGAGTTAGTCTAGTTGGATCTCTTTTTAAAAAAATGTTTTCTTTTCATCATTATATTTGATTTGTACAAGACAAAGAATTTTTTGATTTTATATAGATTTTGGTTTATTCCAAAAAAGGTGAACTTCGTTTTGATGATGTTTGTATGGAATCTAATGCGAATAATGTTGTTAAATTACAAAAATGTTCACAAGGAAATCAAAAACAAATATGGAATTATAATAATGAAGTATGTTTCGTTTTGTTTAATATATAAAACAAACTTTTCATCTAGACAAAACATATGGAACATGTTACATCTAGACAATGTCTGTCTACTGATAAAACAAAAGGTTCAGGTCATTTAATTCTTGGTAAGTAAAATTAAAGATGAAATAAAGATTCTTTTGAAAGATAAAATTATATTTTAGTTCCTTGTGAACAAGACAATAATGCAAGTCAACGATGGTATTTGGAACAATCATTGTTAACATAGTTATATTTTAAACTAATACTCTTACGGTTTTTTTTGTTTTTATTTAGTTATTAATTACTCATTTGTTTTATATTTATTCTTTCTTTTTATCTTTTATCGCATGTGAAATATGTTTATCTTGTGCTATTAATAACATTCCATATGTTGTTGTTTTTTTAAATCGTTTGTGAATTTAATGAGATTCTCTAGTCGACCATCGCAATCTCTTCCTATATTTCTTCTTATTTTAAATGAATTTCTTGAGAAAAAATAGAACGTATCCGCAGTATTTATTTTGTTTTTTCTTGTTATGAAAATATTTCGATTGTTATCTCAACTATAATAATCATTGAAGAACTCCTTATTTTTACCATTTTGTTTTCCTGCATTTCATATTTTACTTGTTCACAAGTTTTCTTTTTTTGTTCCTCTATTGGTTTTTGAATAAATATACAGGTTTATGGAAAGAGAAAGGATTATTTGTAAAAAAAAGAAGAATACCAAAGAATAGCCGTTTAGTTAAGCGTTTAAATAAAAATCTTTCATACAATGTAAAATCCTTCATTAATGATTTGATTAATTAAGAAATTGAAACTTCAGTTAAGATATGCAATCGAAAATATGTTGAGTTTTCAGGTTTCTCAGCTGAATATCGATAAAGACTAAAGTTAAAAAGATTTGTGTGTTGTTTTAATTCTTACGAACTATTTTCTGAAATTCTTCAAACTGTCGAGGCTTTCTGAAATATCTTTATTAGCTAATTGTAATTACAAAATGACGAATCTAATAAAAGAACTCCCAGAACATTAGTTCGCTTGAATAAAACAGCTGAATTGAGATCTTCTCTTAAGAGAAGAGAAATAGCTTTCCATCGATTGAGAAATTTTATTCTTATGAAATGAACTAAGTATGCTGATTTGAACAATAACTATACATTTAGTTCTATTTTATGTAAATCTCATTCATTTTTCCGAGAAAAAAGAGAAGATGTGGAGCTTAAGTGTAATTTGACATACCAGATCGATCAACCACGCTTGCAAACGACTGAAAGTCATCGTATATTGACATACTTCATCATGGTATTGTTCGAATGGCATATATTACTTTATCAGCAAAGAGCGATGGCTATACGCCGTTACTCCGATCTCGAATGGCTAATTTCTTAACCTCAACAAAATTTATTGAATGAAAAATAAAAAAAAAGAACAAATAAAAGCTTTTAAAGTATTCCATAAATTTCAAATATCCTAAAGGTTGTTTTTAAATATATGTATGTTGAGTTTGTATGAGAATAAAAGATCATTATTGGCATCAAGGAAATAAATAACCATATGATATACTTTATGTGGGAAGACACTCAGTACATTGATGTGATAATGGTTTATTTGCCGTCAAAGGTGATGGGAAATTTCGATATTTGTATAAGAACTTCGGTACACTGCATCAATCTATCAATGTGACGAAATAAGAAACAAATTCTATGTTCTTACAACCAGTGATGTTGAGACGGTTTCCTAACTGAGTGTAACTCTTGCAAAAAAGTATTTACATGACAATAGTCGAATGAACATTTCATATTCAACTTGTAGCAATAAATGCTAATGACACCTATTTATACTCTCTCCAAGATCTTAACTCTTGAAAAAACATATTACACTTTAATCTGTGAATTCTTGAGTTTTTATCCTAATGGTTGTCGTATTTGTTATTTTTACTACTTATATTTGAAAAAAACGCAACAACAAAAGAACGTGAAGAAGAAAAGAAAAAACAAACGCACATGTCGCTCTACATGCATCAGAATTGTATTGCACCATAGATGAAATCACACAAAGAAAGGAAGCATTCGTACTGCCAAATTTGATCTTCAAAATATAATCATGGCAGAGTAAGTATTCTCTTAACTTAATTTCTTTTAAAATAAAATCGATGATTGAACATTTTTTTCTTGAGACCTTCTGTTAAATGTACATTTCATCATGTACCTTCTGATGCTGTTGACTTAATATCCTTATCAATTGGAATTCATACGAAATACAATGAAAACACCACACAAGTTTTTTGTTTATGCTCACTTTCAAAAGCCAATCAAATCCGTTCGACACTTGCCAACGTTATTGTTCAATATCCACAAATCTGGTTGTCAATTAACCTACCAAATAACTCAAACGGTATATATTTACCATTCAACACGAATATTGCCAATGAAATTCATGTCTCTTTTGGTTCTTTACTTTCGACTTCGAAATTTTTAATCCATGATACACCATTAAATGATAGAACTCAATGGACAATAAAATTTTCCAATGAACAAAAATTAATCATCGAATGTCAACCTAATCAAAAAACTGATTCATCTGTTTGTTTAACTTTACCAATGAAATGTGTTAACAAAAATATACTTGTCATAGACGGTAATACTTATTCGGATATTATATTTAATATTGATACAATGACAACAGATGTACGAGAATATGATAATATAAAAAATGATAGGTACTTTGAGAAAACAATTTCAATATTAGTTTTGAATGAATATTTTCTATGATTAGGTTATATGGTAATAATCCAATTATTGAATCACTTAGTCGATGTAGTGAGATACTCATACGTATGTCATCGAAAACTAATGTTGATCAATTCCTTGATTATTTTCATAGTAAATATCAATGTGAAATCTTTTATACAGTCATATCAATTCAACGTAATGTATGCGACCAATGGAAAAAAATTGAATTTAATTGGTATCCAACAGCAGATGCTCTTTATGCTATATCAATGCTTCATTCATTAGGATATTTATTTGATGATAAATATTTAATAGATAAACAACTTCAAAGTATAATGGTTGATTTAGCTGAAGAAGATGAAAAAAGGTTTTATCAATTAACATTAAGAGCTTTTGATGAACTTCAAAAATGTCATTGGTTAGATTTAACAACAATTTTTAATCGAAATCAATTAGATCGAATTCAAGTAGAAGTAAATGAGAAAAGAAAAACTTCATATGTATTTTTTATATTTTTCATGTTTTCTTTTTAGTTGAGAAATAAATTTTGTTATATAGGTGTTGTTCATTTAACTCCAACTCGTCTTCATTTATTACCCAAAGAAAAAACTGAAGGACATCGCGCAATGCGTCATGAATCTTTTCAAAGTGAAAATAATTTTTGTTTGGTTTATTTAAAATCGGATCCATCGGACAAATATTTAAATGATAATACTGATGTTTTGGCTTATTTTCAAACAATATTTGAATGTGGTATTGTATTTGGTGGAAATCATTATCATTTATTCGGATCATCAAATTCACAATTAAAAGAGCATTCATTTTGGTTTATTAAAGCGTCGACATTAGATGATATTGATCAAAAACGATTACAATTAGGTCAATTAAATCAAATTGAAAATTTAAGTACATATATAACTGGACTAGATTTATGGTTTAGTAGAAGTTCTTCGACAGGTGTAAGTAAACATAATTAGATCAATAAGAATTATTTTTGTACTCTGTTAGATTAAACTTATTTATTGTCAAGATGAACAAGACTTTGATAAACGTGTACAACAAGAAGAAATATGTGTAATGAATATTGATGATATTAAACGAAATGGTTATTGTTTTACTAATGGAAATGGATTTATTTCAAAAGGTTTAGCAAAACTTGTAGTTGAAACACTTTCGTTATGTCCACAAGATTTCCAACAAAATGTACGTTTTTGCTTTTTTCGGTAGAAAAAACTTTGCCAAGTCTTTCAACATTTAATTAAAGTCATAACTCATGTTGCACGCTTGTTCGTATTTTCGCCGGTTCATTATCGGTACAGTGCATATTGTATCAAATGGTGTACCGGTGGCCTCTTCTTTTAATATGAACTCGAGTTAATGAATGCCTTATTTTATTCTGTTCACTGAAGTCTATGATAAATCCGTCTTAGGTTAGATATATTCAGCTGCACACCTAAGCTATTGGAAACCTATTAATAGCATAAGATGAGGTATTTAGAAATTGAGTTTTCATAGGAAAAGAACTAGTTACCAATTATTTGATTTGGTTCTAACAAATTATTGAGCAGTGAGTTGTCTGATACATAAGAGAAATGCAAATATTAAATAGAGTTCGGTTTATAAAAGCTTATCAAGAATAGAAGCATTTTAAATAATTCTCGCTTTATTAAATAAAATTTTTGTCTTACGACGGAATATATACTCCAACTATCAGGCCTCGTTCGACTTCACGTTATGACTATGAGTAGGTCTCGATGAGATTAAGCCGAGCATGTCCAAAAAGTTCAAAACAAAGAAGTTCGACCTGAAATTAGATCTATAGATAGTCATGAATGTTTCAACAAAAACCATCACCTCATTTCTCAAAATATTCAATGTCGAAAAAAGCAGCAATTTACCATAGGAGAACACAATAATTAAGTCTAGTTCGGTCATCATTTTTTATCGACTGACCATAGATCCGAATACTTTTAAGTTTGACCAAGACTTAATCATAACTGTCATATGAAGTCGAACGACGTTTGGCAATTGAATTTGTTTCCTAGTTAGCATTCGTTGTACTATTAAAACTTATGCTAATTTTGTGTTTTATGATTGACAAGATTTCAGTAATTTTATTATTGTAAAGATTTTACCATCTGCTTATCAAATTCAAATGGCTGGTTGTAAAGGTCTTGTTATAGTCGATCCTCAATCAACATTTGAACAATTTTATATTAAAATTCGTCCATCAATGAAAAAGTTTGAATGTAATAATTGGACTTTAGATATTTGTGAATATAGTCAATCGAGTATAATTAATTAATAATTTTTATTCTAATAAAGAAAAAAAAATGTTGCTGTTTTCTAGAATCAGCTCGACTAAATAATCAAATCATTGTACTTATGTCAGATCTTGGTGTACCGAATGAAACATTTCTTCATTTCCAGAAACAATGGTTCGACAAAAAACCATCACGTTTTATGAATTCTGAGTAAATATCGAATGCTTATTAAATACTAAGTCATTTTATGGTTTTTTTTTGTAGCGATTTATTAAAAAATAAAATCCCATTACCAATTAATGAATGTCGGTATATGTATGGTTGTGCGTTTGAAAGTCGACTTAAATCTGGAACATGTTTTTTTCGTTATCAAGTACTAAATGAACATGGTAAGCCTTTACCAAACCCTCAATTTCAAAGTGTAGAAGGACGAGTGCTTGTAACAAAAAATCCTTGGTAGGATTCTTCTTCCTTTGTTTTTCGTTATTTTAAAATAAGACAAGAGTTTTTATTCAGTCCACATGCTGGTGATCTGCTTGTATTAACAGCTGTTAATCTACCTGAATTATATGATTTAAAAGATGTTATTGTTTTTTCCAGTGAAGGTGATCGTAAGTAGATGAGTTTTATTTCATTTCATTAGATAAATATAACTTCTAGGGCCTGATTTTAATAAAATTGGTAGATCAAGTTTAGGTGGTGATAAATATTTTGTAAGCTGTTTTTTTAATCAGTTTATTCATTTTTATATAATATCGAAAAGGTTTATTGGGGTGGAGAATTTCATTTAAAGTATTCAGTATCTCCACTTGATTATATAGCAAAAGAACAGATTAAACATCCAACGCCAATTTGTGCTCAAGATATTATTAAATATTATTTTACAATATTAGGTACACCTAGTTTTGGTGAAATATATAATATGCATGCCATGATTGTTGATCGAAATATTGAAAATCATCAACAACGTACATGTCAAAAATTAGCAATTGAATTAGCTCGAATGTTGATATTAGCTAGTAATTTTAATTTGATTTATTATAATATTTATTCAATATGATTTATTTTTTTCTTAAGGTGATTCAGGTAAAACAGGTTATATTGTTAATAAAGAACGTCTTCAAGAAATATGTGAAATATATGGAAAAGAATATCCTGATTTTTTAATGAAACACGATAAACAATATTATAAATCTCAATCGATTAATGGAATACTCTATCGTAATGCTGTATTTTATAAAAATGGAAAAATTAATGAACTTAATAATGTATTTGCACAAATGAATATTGATGATAAAGTGTTAGCGCCATCCTTGCGAGATTAAATTGTAAAACACGATGTAACTATTATTGCCAATCACAGGACATTGCATTATTCTATCTATTTTCAAACACATATCTTCACCATCTTTTTACTTAACCCTGGCGAAATGCAGTAAGGCAGTAGTTCATATAGTAGAACCAGACATTCTTGATATACGATCTTTGATCGTATCATTGTTAACAACGTCTGTCACGATCTGTTGAATTCGGAATTGTGTTTCACAGCCCTATCTAATGAATATTTTGTATGGGTAATGCGAGTCTCATTTTCAAGAAAATTTAATCGAAAAAGAATAAGGATATAAAGTTTGTTTTCTATTTTGTAATATACATTTGTTTTATTCTTAAATTTTATCTCGCCATAGTCTATTAACGAGTTCAATAAAAACAAACAATAAAACTTTTCTCAATTTCATTGAGATTATGCATATTTTCCTGAAATTTTTGAAAGACTATGCATTATTTACGTGGTGACGATAGCGAGAGGTGTACAGGATAATCCAAAAGTAAGAGAACACAAAATTGTTCGATTTCTTCTTTGTGCACAGTCAGCTAGGCCTCATATATTTATGCTACATGTACTAGGTGATACTATTCAAAAATATAGCATATGCTCAGCCTTTGGATATGCACAAATCTTACTGCTCGTCTATAGAAATCGTATGGAACTCGAAAAACGTCGGATTCTTCCTTACAGACGTAGATGAGTAGTAAGATTTATTTGTATCGAGAGAGTGAGCATATTCTGCCTCTTCTACTAGTATCACCTAGTATCTGAGTTATAAATATGGGAGACCTAATTGACTATGTACAAAGAAGAAATCGAAAAAAATTTGAGCTTCCTTCCTTTTAAACCATCCTCTATATTTCGATAAGGCATATTTGAAGAAATACTTCGCTGTTCAACTGTTTTAAAACATATGGAACATAATTATTATTTATCGTAGAGAATTCAATTTTTGCTCACAAATTAGCTTTTACATATGGTCTACATAAGAGAAAACATCTCTATCGATTATGAAAAACTAAACGAAATAGTTTACTTTTTATGTATTCGTTGGAACCATTTCAAAAAACTTTGGAATAATCTCATTCGAATCTTTTCTATAAGACTTTGTCTGATCTTATTCAACTGTAAATCCATCCACTAAATATCATCATTAAGTATTTTGACATTTCTTCCTTTCATCACCAACAGAAAAGTTTCAAACAAATTTTTTTTAACAATTTTTTTGATGATTTCATCTTAATTGAGCAGTTTGCAGATATAAAGTGCTAAACACACCAAGAACGTGTACAATATTTCAAAACAAAAAATAATAATAAAACAAAATATTATTCAGTCGTTTGTGCTGTTGGATTTGCTGTCTCTTCACCATGAGCTGTTTCTCCAGTTTCACCTGTCTTTTCACTAGCCTATAAAAAGTAAAATTTTATTTAACAAATAGGAAAGCAGAACTTCTTGTCATGAAAAACTAACCATAGCTGCTTTTCGATCTCGTTTTCTTTTTTCTTCTTCAACAATTTTCCAAAAATCTTTTTCAGCTTTTTCAATAGGGTCAGCTTCTTTCAATTCCGATTCACCAGTTCCACCATCAGTCGTTGTTTTTTCAGTTTTCTTCATGAACATATCAAAAAAATAAATAAAACAAAATAATAATTAAAAAATTTTACCTCGGCATGTGCTGATTTTCCTCGAACATCTCGTCTTGCTCGACCTCGAGCTTCAAGAATTTTTGCACGTCGTGTTTCACGATCAAACATCTAATTAATTCAATAAAACAAAAATCGTCTATATATTCTAAAATACGTACTCCATTCACCAAAGTTTTTTCACTTTTTCCTTGTATACACAAGTTATCCGATACTTCAACTAATGTTACTGTACCATTCTGTGAACCACAAGCAACAAGACGGCCATGAGGTTCTTGTACACGTAAACAATAAAGTGCTTCATCAACTACTTGAATTGATAAAGTTGGCTCATTTTGTTTAAACAATATATCCCAAACATCGAGTGTACCTATTTTAGAAGTCAAAGATAAATAAGTGTTTTTTTTTCCTATGATAAAATCATTGTTTTTTACCATCCATTTTAGTTGTAAAAAATATAGAAGATCGTGTTGGTGACCATTGACCATCGGTAAGAGCATGCACACTTGGTCTGGAAGAATCAAAGAATAAGTTCTTAGTTTTTTTTTAGTTTAATAAAATCGAATGATATTACTTTGTCCACATAATACAATCATCTCGCATTTCTTCGGACCAAATACGTACAGTCCAATCGCCAACAGATAAAAAGTTTTTTAAAAAATTTGGATGACGTTGAAGTGCATAAACAGGACCCCAATGTCCTGGAAACACATTACCGATTTTTTCAGCATCATTTTTTCCTTTACGATTACATGATACAATTCGACCTTGTTCTGTTCCAACCATAAATTTCGTTGGCTATATTATTAAAATTTTCGATTGAAATTTCAAGAACATTTCAACTTACAATTGTTGATTCATATTCTAATGACATAGCACCAAGAGCATTTTCTAATCGACCTTTTTTTTCAATATCTAATATTAATGTTTCAACTGGTTCTGATAATTTTTTTGTATCCCACCAAAGAATCTAAATCAATAACTATCAATATGAAAAAAATATATAAAAGAATTTTTATTTTACTTTGCCATCAGTAGAAGCAGAAAAAAATTCTGTGCCTGATTTTGATTGTAACCATACTGTTTTATAAGCTGGATCACGATGACTATTTTCAATAAGTGATTGTTCAACAGCTGTACTACCTTTTCGTGTATCGAATATACCTATTAAATAAAATGTATTCAATCAAGTTCATAGAAGTTTTAAACTTACAAACTTGACCATTATAACAGCCTCCAACAAGTTGATGTGTATCTTTTGGATTAAATTCAATACAAACAAGTGGAGATATTGGTTTTAAATTAAGATCAGGTTTTGTTGGATTTTCTATTTTGAATTCGAAAATGGACAAGTAAATAAATGTGAAATTATGTTTTGTTTTATTTACCAGTATCCCAGATGTATGAATCGATATATGAATCATTTGTACCGGATTGAAATTCAAGATTACAATAAGAAACAGCTAATTTTCGTGCTCCATCAGCATACCATGAAATATGATTGGCTGCACGTCGAGCATTATATGGATCACTAAAAATTTTGAAATTTCAATATAAATACAAAATTCAACTGTAATTTTACCGATAGATATTAACGGTTTTAGCATAAGGTGCTTCTTCAACAACATCAGGTTCTAAATTTTCAAAATAATTTTCATATATATCAACAGCGTTATTTTGTTTGATTGTATGTTCAACTAACTAAATCGATATATTTATATTATCAATTAGAAACAAAACAAAAAAGTAAATATTTACTTGTCCAAGGGATAACATGGATCGAGTATAACCATCTTCTTTTTCTGTTTTCTTTCGAAAACGTGAAGTTTGATCAGGTTCAAGTGGATTTATATCTTTTGGCCAACCACCTTCAACATGATTTACACCTCGATTTTCTGTTTCAAATCGGACTGTATTTACCTGTAGTTACCAATAGATTTATTTACAAAAAAAGAAACAAACGAAATTTATACCCAATGTTCAGAAAATTCTCGGACGTTTTGTATAGCAAGTTCAACGGGATTACGAGAAATATAATCACGAGATAGTTCAATATTGGGTGGAATATCAGCAATTAATTCGACAGGTCGATCTGTAAAAAAAACTTGACGACCAAATTCTGATCGTTTCTTTGTGTAAACATATTGAATATCCATTATTAATGTAAACTTGTTGAAAAAAAGTGATCAAACAACGAAATGAAAACAATACCATCAACATCAATTTTGCATCTTAATCAACAGAGCAACCACCTCTCTACTTGTAACATTTCTAACAAGATGTCGTTGTAGAACATTTGATTAACACTTCTTTTGTTTCATTAGTTTCTCGGTTACATTTTACGTCTTACAAACATGAAAAGCATACTTCAAAAGACTGTTGTTTCTTTAGCATGAATATCATTTTCATATAATAATTTTAAAGACCCAACTCTCGTCACTCGAATTTAGTAGACATACCATTGTTTCTAATTATAATTAACTGTTTTTTCGCAAAACTCATTTTAGTATTTGTTCTTGAAACCATAAAAAGGATTCAATGAAGCCATAACAAATATCAATTTAGTAAGAACAAATAATTGTTAACAAACATCAACTGCGTACAAAAAACAATCTGAAATCAAAGCTACAAAATTAATTCTATAAACAACTGTATTTTAATGTATTAGTGAAATGAACTGAAATCAAAATTTCTTCACAAAATACTTATCATAATCATAATTTTATGATTGTATAGATACACTCATCAATTGAAATACCTACAAACTGGAACACCTCAAAAAATAAAACGAGACACAAGCGCACGAGAGGATGAATCGTTTCACCTCCAGATTTTCAAATGAAGTATTTATGAGGAAAATCAGCAAAAGAAAAAGGACATGATGATATTCAACTTAACTTTGATTCTTTATAAGAGTTATTATTTTGAACAAGTCGCTTTTTCATACACATCTGTAACAATATTGACTCTTTCATCCCACAACCAATTAATCTTAATAAGCTGATGATTTAAGTAACTAAAATTTAATTAGTGAATAACTCTCTGAATTAATAACGGGCAAGTCGAAGAATTTCAAAATAGACTTCACCTCATAAATGATAGCCATGCTGGAATTTTCAGCAAGACCAAATTTCAATGAATCGTCTCCCAATAACATGTTATCCAGGAGTTTTATTCTGTTTAAGAGATACAATTTTTAGTATGGTATCATTTCGAGATCTCCAATAATGATTTGTATCTTTTACGATTAGTTTTTGCGCCGCTCATTCAGTTACAAGAGGAATTTTCTTTTCAATATTGATATTCATGCAGAATCCACTTGCATCATTTGTACAGGAAAACGCAAACA